GCTGGGCTAAAACCCACATTAAATGGGTTGGTTCAGAGAATCCTTCTGATTTGTTGAGAACTATTCCAAAATCTATGTCAAAGATTTTTCACTTAACCTCACCTCAGTGAACTGCTGCAGGACGTGCAAACTCAGAAACACCAAGAGAAGATCTGCTCCAAAAGATCAATAAATAATGGACAATGGTAATTATGAGTTCAAAGCTTTCTTGCACTTCTGTAACATACCAAAGCTCATTTTAACAATCTGTTTCATCCTTTTGTCTTGCAGATTAATTCTAAACAGAGGCCAGCTCATTCACAACTGAGTAAATGTAGCTAATGCTCTACATTGTTGGCCATTCAAAGCACAGACCTCCGAATATTAGCATTATCATATGAATTCACATGAATGCATCAAACAATTTTTACCACCATCGATGCTATTATCTTGACAAAGCTACCACTGCTAATATAGAAATACAGAAACAGGAGTAGCCCATTCAACCCCTCGAGCCTGTTCCGCCATTCTATAAGATCATGGCTGATCTGCACCTTGAGCCGAATTACCCACCCTAACCCCATATCCCTTAATGCCTGGACCTAACACATATTTATCTATCTCTTTCTGGAAGATGTGAATGGATCCAGGATCCACAGCCTTTTGAGGGAGAGTTCCAGATTTCCACTACCCTTTGGGTGAAAAACTGCCTCCTAATTTCACTGCTAAATGACCGAGCTCTAATTTTAAGATTATGCCACCTTATTCTGGATTCCCCTAGCAGAGGAAATAGTTTCTCTGTATCTACCCTATCAAATCCCTTTATTATTTCAAAAAGCTAAATCAGATCACCCCTCAACCTTCTAACTCAAGGGAATAGAGATCAAATTTATGCAACTTGTCCTCATAATTTAAGCCCTGATATCATTCTGGTGAATCTGCGCTGCACCCCTCCAGAGCCAATATATCCTTCCTGATTGTGGTGCCCAAAACTGAAAGCAGTACTCAAAATAATACTATCTCTCACACTTCCATTATGTATACCTTAACACTATTACGGTACCCATCATATGAATTAACACTATCTTTGCCACTACCATTTTAACTATCACATATGATTTACCATGACCCTCTGAAGTGGGAGTTACTGCTCAGAAAGCCCCTTCTCTTTCACACAGTGAATTAGCAGGAAAAACATATTTTCCCACAGGATGAGAGGGCAATGAGTCATCATCTCAGGATGCTCTATAATCCTAGTGGCAAGCTCAAAATTAGATCCACAAAAAGCAGGTCATTAACCCAGAATACTGGCTAGGAAGCAGGGAGGGAAGAGAGTAAGGAGAAAAAGGAAGTGAGAAATCTATGGAGAGAGTGGAATAAATTGCATCTGATTTATTTTGTTAATGCCTACTTTCCTTCAGTTTAGAGTAAAACCATTACACATGACAGAACCTTAGTCTCCATTTCTTTTTCAAACATCTGCTGATGAATGCTCCATGTTATTCCAGCCGCTTTTCGTTCTCCTGCCGATTAGGTGCTGTTGATCTTTGCACGTATAATACTGTGCCAGTGGTTTGACGTCACAAAAACCTTTATCTCTTGCATGTCATCTGATGGTGAATACTGCTAGACATTTGATTTCCCTGTTTCTAGTTCTCAACACTAAGGAAATGAAACTGGGTTCCGGAGGTTGGTTTAAAATACCCCATGTTCCTCATGTGGTACTAACGCTTGTAACTCAGCAGTCTCCCTTTTTATGATTTGCTTTAACTCCTAATACAGAGTGATGCAAGCCTGCAGAAAATAAGCAAAAGATTGCAGGGTAATAAGAGAACATGATTAGCACTATTTGAAAAGAGAAAGGAGTTTCTCCTGGTGTCCTGACCAGTAATCCCCCAAATAAAATTGGTCAGTCACTTTGTGGGTGTTTGTGGGACATTGCTTGTGCACTTGTGCTGCCGCATTTGCCTACAAATACAGTCACTCCATTTCACAGTAAATCCAGTGAAGTGCTTTTAGAGATCCTTCTGATGTGCTAAGGCTCTATCCTAAATGCAAGGAGTATTATTATATTATAAGGTTGAGTGATTTAAACTGTCCGAAGAGAAACAAAAAGTCAATGGGATATGAGTCTAGAATGGTCCATGGCTGGCCGGTGTGACTGTAAGAAAATCGTAGAATCAGAAATTTAAGTACAGAAAAAGGACATTCGGCCCATCAAGTCTAGATCAGCTCTCAGAACAAAATGTTCATTCAACTCCACTGCCCTGCTTTATCTCCATATGCCTTTCAAACCTCTATCCATCTTATACCTGGAAATCATATAATCTAAGTTGACACTCCAGTGGGATGCCATCCTGACGTGAAAGGCACTATACAAATGTAATTTGTTGTATTTGTTGTTGAAGTGCTGAAAATCTGCTGCATTGTTGGAGATGCTGTTCTTTAGATAAAACGTTGTAATGAGGTCCTGCTTAGTTTAGGTGGATGTTAAAGATCCCATGACACTATTCAAAATGAGAAGGGAGTTCCTCCTGGTGTCCTGTTCAACAATTCCCCCAAAGGAATTAGTCAGTTGTTTGATGCCTTTGTAGGACATTGCTGTGCACAAATTGTCTTCTGTATTCGCCCACAAGACACAGTTACTACACTTTATAGTTTATCCTGTGAAGCTCTTGGATGTCCTTCTAATGTGAAAGGCACTATAATAATGTATTAAGGTTATTATTATTAATTCCCTCTTGAAAGAATGATAATAATAATAATAATAATAATCCTTGCATTTGATATAGTGCTTTTCACGTCGGGAGGACGTCCCAAAGCGCTTCACAGAACACACTGTAAAGTGAATTGACTGTATATTTGTGGGCGAACGCGGCAGCCAATTGCGCACAGCAATGTCCCACAAACAGTAGTAGATAGAAAATGACCAATTTATTATTGTTTTGGGTTTTGGAGGGATTATTAATAGGCGTGTGGAGTAAGGAAACTTGCCCAAGGTTTCACCCTGACCTGCCTGGGATTGAACTCAGGTCTCTCGCTTGCAAAGCGAGTGCTCTAACCACTGAGCTACAGGACTCCAAATAAATAAGGAAAACAAAGGTATACTAACATTATGGCATGATGGACTTCCAGATTTCGTAATTGAGAATTCCATTAAAAAAAAATACAATTTACCCCATATTTTCAACACCACTTGAAGAAAAAAAATCAAAATTTGTGTTTTTGCTACACCTTTCTTCCTCCAATGTACATTAAAATTTGTGGACCACTTACATTTCAAAATACAATAAACTGTCTTCAACGACCACTCGGGATTGGACCAAAATGGTAATGATATAAGAATGGCCTTTGAGTAAGGGATCCTTGGTGTGTGTAGATTTTTAATTGTATAGAAAAATACAGACGTAAACCCATAAATTAAGTTAATTTTAATAAATTATTAAATAATTAAAGATGGCAAATGATCCTTAAATTGCAATGACAAATTGTTACTTTTGGCTGAAATCCATAATCTTTTTCTGGTGGGCGCTTGCTATTTTCTGACTGTATTTCTCAGAAAGGGTGTCCTTACAAAGGCACAGAGTGTGAAAGGACCAACAAAGAGTGGTCGCTGGTTGCATTAGGCAGGTGGTTGTTAAATAGAAATAGTTTGTTATGCAAAATGTCCGGCTGTTCTCAGTAGTTGTTAACAGGGAATAGTTGCTGAATGCAGGTGATTGCTTGAACAGGTTTGACTCTTAATATTGCAGTGTAGTATTTAGTATTCTTTGCTGCATTCATATTCCAACCAGAATGGTGTTTATTGGAACTTACACAATTGATCGCAGTTACTGGGGGGGCTTTTTACACACCTGTGTTTCTGTTAGATGATAGAAACACACCATTATAAACGTTCAATATAAATATAAGCAATATAAACGTTCAGCATAGATGAAAAGTAGCCCATTTGCATCAAATAGCATCACTCATATCCGTCCAATGCATAACTGGCAAATGAGACTGCGCCGCTGATTTTCGAAAAAGAAACACGTGAAATGGATGGTTTAGATAAACGTTTACAGGGACATTGGCAGATCCAGATGTAATAGTGCATTGGTACCGCATTTAGCAACATTTAATCTGGATTGATTGACCGCCCACGGTCTGAACATTTTTCAAAAAAAAAATAAACTCGCTCTGCGTGGTTGGCAAGATTTGTGGAATTTAATCAATTTGACTCAGTTCAATTGCCCAAAGAAAGTGTCCCCTCTATTTGATCACATCACTCCCCCTTCTCCCTCCTTCCCAACCAATTACAATATCTGATCCCTATGCTTCAGAAAGGATTTGATATATGTCCTTATTTTGGGGGTATTTCAGTCTGTTGTATCTTGCAAACTTTTAGCTCCCCCCACACCAAAAAAAAACACCCACACACAAAAGAAAACTACAAAAGCATCCTTTCATTTGACAAGAAGATCCTTTCTCTATGTGCTGCATTCTTTTTATTACGACTTTGCAGGTTTAAAATAAACCTTTTGTTTTTGGGGCGCGGAGCAACGTTATTAACTTTGAGTGGTAGCATTATTTTCGATACGTGGGTTAAAACTCGACATTGGTAATATTGATGCAAATAAAACCCCCCCATAATCTATACCCATTTATTATTGATGCAACGTGTTGAAACGACGCAATAAATAACGATTCCGTTGTTCTTTGCGTTTATCTCACCAGAGATATCTCCCCATTGCCTCAACCTGGAGAGATATTTCCTGGTTTCATTTCCAATAAAATTGTCAGTTGCATTGATGCAGGAGATTGAATGAGGTTTTTTTTTCTCTCTCTCTCTCTCCTCTCTCTCTCGTGATCCCCTTTGCCATGATTCACAGTGACAGACTCATTCCCGTGGTCATGCCTGACCGGGTGGGGTCAAGCAGATTAAAGACGAATTAACGTCACTGTTTTACCGTCATTCTAGGAAATACATCTGGATTTATTTGCTCGTGTTTTCAGTTCGAGACGAAATCCCATCTGGAGCCGAGAGGGCTCGAATCTGACATTACCCCAAATATTATATAAAACACAGAAGAAGACTCTCGCAGTGAAGGGGTTGGTTCGGAGCGGTGATATTTGCTGAAATTCAAGTGTTAATAGGGTTCCTCCTCTGTCAAAGTGGATCGACCACACCCCCCAAGTGGCAGAAATTCAACGAAACGGAGAGCAGTGAGTGAGAGGCTGAAATGTGCTGTGTCTCTGGAGGAGCTGATCATGTTCTCAGTGGCTTAGGGACCCTCTTCCTGATGACATGACCCACTGACTGCTCTGGGCGCCCTGTGTGTGAGTGTGTGTGAGTGTGTGTGTGTGAGTGTGAGTCTGTGTGAGAAGGGGAGAGAGACAGTGAAACCAAACGCCATGGTGTTCATTTGGGGGCTGGTGCTTCTCACCTTGTTGCCGGTTGCGATGGAGAAGGGCAGCGCCAGCCACACCGACAGGCAGCACCAGCAGCCCCCGGCACAGAGCAAGAAGCAGGGAAGGTAAGTGCTGAAACGAACCCAACTGAGCCAAAGGGCTGTGTGTTCCGCAGGAGGAGGTTGGGAGGTGTGGGGTGGGGTGGGGTGGGGTGGGGTGAGGGGCATTAGGTTCACATTAACGTGAACCTGATATTTAATTTCTTCCAAGAAAAATCGTAGTGGGGAGTTGAAGTGGAGACAACTTATTTTTATAAAAGTGTTTCCATCTTCCAGGTCATTATGTTATGTCTCCATAGTTCGGCTTCTCCCTATCTCTACGACCCACTGAAACCTTACCAACCTGCCCGCTCCCTCCATTCAGCGGGCACTGGCCTGCTCCATGCCCCCGCCCTGCCCGCCCCCAGCAGTCACACCTTCAGCTTTTCTGCCCCACCTCCCCAGTGGAACTCTATCCCAGAAACCTTTTGCCTCCTGTAAGGCCCATCTCAAGACCTTGCTCTTTGGTATACCTTCTGTCATCCTCACACCCCCACAGCCATTGCCCTCCACCCTTGTTGATTCTAAACACCAGCCCGGGTGCAAACCCTTGACTGGCCAGTGACTTGGGGCGTCCTCCTGACGTGAAAGGCGCTATATAAATGCAATTTGTTTTTGTTGTTTCCTAAAAGAAAGAAATGCAATGTCATTTCTAAGGACCAATTTGAGGGAGCTTATAGAGTGTGAAATAATTTACAAGTGAGATACAGATAAGAAGGTCTCTTGACCCATTCGATCCCTTTTTTCCAAAACACCTACCCTCCACCCAATTCTTGCACAAGATGTTGTGCAAAATCATTGTGGTTTCATCTCTACAGTCCCAATACAACCCAATTGAATCTTTTTATATATTGAACCTACTTTGGCAGTGCAGGCTTGTGGCATCCTTCAATGATTTATTCGTTTAAACGTTTCTGACAGCTGTTTAAATTTAGGCAACTTCGCCATACTTATTTCAGATTCTTCTTCTCTGTGTCCTGAATGTCTTCACTAACTTCAAAGGCTCTCAATACTTTCAATAATGAATTATTTTCCTGGCCTGCATTTCTCATTCACCAACTATATTTGCAGCTTCATTGCTATTCCCTACAATCTAAGGAGGCCTTGGTGTGATGAGCCCTTTAAATTATGTCTGTTGGCTTTTGGTCAGGCTAAACCTCCATGTGAAATTCTCTAGGGCATGGAGCACATTTCCTTTTTCAATTTGCATGTAATTATGTTGAGCTTTGTAAGAGCTTTAAGAGGGATATGCCACTGGGAAGTCACTTTGATGTAACACTGCCCCTAAAACCACTAGTCTAAAAAAATAGTTTGACTTCCCTTATAACAACGAAGTATATACATACCAATTTAATAAAGCTTTTTTCTTGGCAGTCTTCCACTACTCTGCTTCTATCGCTAACAGAACACTAAGTCTTGCAGTACCTAGCAACAGATTTGGTAGAAATTTGCTTACTAAAGGTCATCTTACCCAGAAATCTTTGTAGACCTTCTTTATTTTTTGTCCATTCAATCTAACAATAATAATGGTTTCATTTCTTATAGCACCTTTCACATTCAGAGGACGTCTCAAAGTGCTTCACAGGATTTACTATAAAGTTTAGTGTATTTTGTAGGTGAACTTCTAGTGCATCTAGTGCGAATTCAAGATTCTCATCCTCACCTACAAGGCCATTCACGGCCTTGCTCCCTCCTACCTCTCCGACCTACTATCCCCCTACCTACCTGCCCGTACCCTCCGTTTCTTCTGGCTCCAGTCTGCTCCACATCCCCCGCCCCAACCGCCCTACCATAGGTGGCCGGGCCTTCAGCCTCTCAGCCCCTAGGCTCTGGAACTCTATCCCCCAGTGCCTTCGCCGCCTCCTCCCTTTCCTCCTTCAAGGCCGGTCTCAAAACCTTTCTCTTTGACCGTGCCTTCAGCTCCCCTCTCGACTCTCTACCCCCTCCTCACTCCCTCCCTCCCTTCCCTCTCCTCACCCTGACCATTTCCCCCCTGCTCGGGTCCTGACCCAACTGTACAGCGCCTTGGGACATCCTCCCGACGTGAAAGGCGCTCTCTAAATGGAATCTTGTTGTTGTTGTATCTATTTCTTTGCATCAAATTTTGCCTTTCCTCACTCAGTCAGCAATTAGCCAAAACAACACCAGATAATGAATTGTTGTTCTTATTATTGTATAACATAATGCTTTTCGCTCATTTGTCCGCAGTCTTTCATTATGTTATTTATTTTCTCTTTGCATGTGTACATTACCAACTATCACCTCTGTACCTTCCAAATTGCCAAATGCTTAGGTCATTGTATTTGGGATGGAGGCCATTTCGAAGGGAAATACGTATTGTTTGGACATATGTTGTCCAAAATATTCACTAAAGGAACAAAAATGATCCCCCTGACCTAGTGTTACATTTAAACTCCTTGATGAGCCTCTAATATTGAAAATATTTTAGAATACTTTAGGCATTTTAGCCATGACTTCCTGAATGGTTTTCATTGGTAGCTTTCCCACTGTAAAGTTTTGTTTCCGTCTTGTCATTATTCAGTTTAATGATTGCTACCATGGCTGATAGCCCTGTCCTTTAATGAATACCCAAGTTCTGCAATTGCGTAGTCTGGAATAGTAATACCAGCTCGTCTCCTTGTTTGCTTTCTGTTATGATAAGTGCTGCGTGTAGCAACCAGCCAAGAACAATTAATTTGTATAAACCATTGCTGTAAGTACCTGAGATCTGCAACCAATCTGCAGAAAGAAATCTGGAGCTTAGTGGTTAGAGCACTCGCCTCGCAAGTGAGAGGACCTGAGTTTGATTCCTGGGCAGGGCAAAACATTAGGCAAGTTTCCTTGCTCCACACAAAAATTAAAAAATAATAATTTGGCCACTCAATCCACGATTGTTTGTAGAATACTGTTGTGCGCAATTGGCTGTCATGTTTCCCCCACGTACTATAGTTAATTCACTTCATTCTATATTCTATGAAATGATAAGGCACTATATCAAGTGCAGGGATTATTATAAAACATTGTTGGAAGTACTTGAGCTGTAAACAATGGCTCATAAACCACTGTTGCAAACACTACACATTTGCTAGAAGCAGCTGCTTTTATTTATATAATTCGATCTAAAACAACATTATAACATAGACATTCTATGAATCTATTTTGCACATTGACTTTGAATATATGATATATAGCAAAACCTGTATATTTCATTGGTATTTTAATTTGCTATATATGTTGAACATTTCAATTCAAAATACAATGCGTTTACTGAATAGTAGCAATAGAGTCTGCGTTAATTATCACATTGTGGGACATTCTGCTCCTGAAGACGTCCCAGTTAATATCCTTCACAGCACCTCCCCCCCACGTCCAGCTTTATTCAAACAGGCTCCTTCAATGTTTGTTGCAACTATTGATCTGCAAATCCGAACATTTTGTGACAGGTTGGGGAATCACACTTAACTAAACTTTTAAGGTAAAATAACTGTAAATACATCATGCCAATACGAGAGAACCCAGATGAAAATAGTTTTAGCTCGAGCATTCCTGTGGGTTGGTGTCATAGATTTCAGGATTTCTTAATTTACACATTACAGTCAAACCTATTTTCAGCAACCCCTCAGGAGATTGAACCAAAGTAGCCTTTATGCAAGGATGATCTCTGAGTAAGGATTCGTTGGTTCATTGACTGGGTCTGAAAATGTCAAAAAAATTCCAAGGGTCAAAACTTTTTGCGAGCCTGAATGTTGACTCCCACTAGTTTCTTAGAGCATTTATTACTGGTGAAGAGGGAAGCTGTGGGCATTACGTGGGTTGTGTTGGTAAATGCACTAAGATTCTAGCGGGAGTCTACAAGTCCCCATATGGAAATTGGTAATGTATTACTGGTACTTAAAATTCACTTACAATTGGCAACTGAAAAGCATATTTGAGGACTAAAAAAGAGTGGGCACTGGTTGCGTTGGATGGGTGGTTGCTGAATAGAGGTAGTGGTTTTAACAGGTTTGACTGTATATAAAATTGCCCCCAAAAGCTTTAAGGTCTTAAATTGAACCTGCATGTTATTATTTAATTTCTCTAAAGGCTTCACATTATTTAATGTTGTGGCAGATCTTCTAATCTGAAGTAATTCATTTTAATTATAACCGTGGTTAGGCAGAGCATTAACATATAATAATAATCCTTAATCCTTGCATTTGATATAGCGCTTTTCACATCGGGAGGACTTCCCAAAGCGCTTCACAGAACACACTGTAAAGTGAATTGACTGTATATTTGTGGGAGAACGCGGCAGCCAATTGCGCACAGCAATGTCCCACAAACAGTCGTAGATTGAAAATGACCAATTTATTATTGTTTTGGTTTTGGAGGGATTATTATTAGGCTCTGTGTGGAGTAAGGAAACTTGCCCAAGGTTTCGCCCTCTGCCTGGAATTGAACTCAGGTCTCTCACTTGCAAAGCGAGTGCTCTAACCACTGAGCTACAGGACTCCATATTATTATATGTAATAAGTTCTACTTTAGGTGACTGATTTTATTGATTTTATTCAATTGTTAGTTGATTGGGGGATCACTTTCTGGGTCTAATAAGCCCTTCAAAAAAAAATAATAATTTGGTCACTCAATCCATGACTGTTCGTGGGACACTGCTGTGCGCAATTGGCTGCCACGTTTCACCCACAAAATGCAGAGTCAATCTACTTTACAGTATATCCTGTAAAGTGCTTTGAGAGGTCTATTTAGAGACGTGATAAAGTGTTATATCAAATACAAGGATTATTAGTATTATTTATTATTATTGATAGTGCACGAGAGCAGCAGAGGGAAACATTCAAAACAATAAAAATGGTGACCAATAGAGTCCAGGAGAAATATATTCCACTAAAAAACAAGATAAAGCTAAACAATAATGAGACACTGTGGATGAATAAAAACATAAACGCAAAGTTGAGACTGAGGAATGAGGCGTTCACTAGGTACATAAATAACAATGGAGAGCATGACAAAAAAAATACGAAGAGGTTAGGAAAGAAGTCAAAAAAAATTAGGAAGGCAAAGAGGAACTATTAAATTATCAAGGAATATAAAAAGAAATAGTGAAACATTCTACAGATATATAAATAACAAAAGAAAAATCAAAATAGGAATAGGGCCATTAAGGGATGGACTAGATAAGCTCACAGGCAACGACTATTTACTAGAGAGACGGATCAGGTGGACATGACAGTAGAAGAAGAGATCAAAAATGATATAAATACATTTAACATAAAAATGGGGGAGATAATCGATAAACTAACCAAACTCAGGGAGGATAAAACCCCTGTTCCAGATGGATTGCATCCGCGTATATTAAAAGAATCTAGGGAAGAGATAGCAGAGGCACTGTTACATATATATAATTCATTAGAAAAGGGAGTAGCGCCAGAGGACTGGAAGATAGCTAATATTACACCTATATTTAAAAGGGGAGATAGAACAAGCCCAGGGAACTATACACCTGTCATCTTAACATCGGTGGTAGGAAAGATAATGGAATCCTTACTGAAAGAAGTAATCGAAAAACATTTAGAAACCGAAAATATAAAAAAGAATAGTCAGCACGGATTACAAAAAGGAAGGTCATGCTTGATCAACCTCATTGAATTCTTTGAAGAGGTAACAGAAAGAGTAGAGAAGGGTAATGCAGTAGATGTAATATATTTGGATTTCCAAAAGGCGTTCAATAAGGTACCGCATAATAGGCTAATGAATAAGGTCAGAGCGTGTGGAAGTCAGGGGAAAAGTAGCAGAATGGATAGCAAACTGGCTACAAGACAGAAAATAGAGAGGGGATGTAAAGGGTAACTACTCAGACTGGCAGAGGGTGGCAAATGGTGTACCACAAGGATCGGTATTGGAGCCACTGTTGTTCACAATTTACCTTAATGATTTGGACTTGGGGATTGAAAGTACAATTTAGAAATTTGCAGAAGACACCAAATTGGGGGGTGTAGTTAATACTGAGGAGGGCTGCAACAAATTACAAGACATTAATAAACTTGCTGAATGGGCATTTAATTGGCAAATGAATTTCAATATAGATAAGCGTGAGGTGGTACATTTTGGTAGGAGGAATAAGGAGGTCACATACTGCCTGGAGAATAAGAATCTAAATAGGATAGAGGAGCAATGAGATTTAGGGGTACAGATACACAAATCACTAAAAGTAGTGATGCTGGTTAATAAGGCCATAAAACAAATGAACCAAGCATTGAGATTTATTTCTAGAAGGATAGAAATGAAAAGCAGGGAAGTTATGCTAAACTTATATTTAACCTTGGTTAGACCACACCTAGAGTGCTGTGTACAGTTCTGGTCCCAATGTTATAGAAAGGATATAGAGGCACTGGAGAAGATGCAAAGGAGATTTGGAGAAGGTGCAAAGGAGATTTACAAGAATGATACCGGAACTGTGAGGTTATACCTATCAGGAAAGGCTGAACAAGTTTGGACTCTTTTCTCTTGAAAAGAGAAGGGTGAGGGGTGAGGGGAGACCAAAACTAGGGACCACATATATAAAATAGTCACCAATAAAATCAAAAAGGGAAATCAGAAGAAACTTCTTTATCTAGAGATTGGTGGGAACGTGGAACTTGCTACCACAAGGAGTAGTTGAGGTGAATAGCAAAGATGCATTTAAGGGGAAGCACATGAGGGAGAAAGAAATAGAAGGTTATGCTGACTGGCTTAGTTGAGGAAGAGCAGGAGGCGGCTCATGTGGAGCATAAACATCGGCAAAGACCAGTTGGGCCGAATGGCCTGTTTCTGTGCTGTACATTCTATATAATTCTATATAATAAATGAAAAACTAAGCCCAGAAGGTCCAATCATCAGTTGCAGGGAAATAATTAATTTAAAATTGTCTCTCCATAAGGTTGCAAGCAGATGAGACCAATGTACTGCTTGTATGAATCAAATCCATGTAAAGAAGAATAGCTGGGGTTGACACGAGAAATAATTGGACACTACAGGTTGCACAACACATTTTTGATTTACTTCTCCAATGTTTGTGATAGTTTTTTTTATAGAAGGGAATTTCTTACGATGTCCTGGCCAATAATCCCCCAAATAAAATAAGTATTTCATTTTTTTCAATTGTGGGAAATTGATGTGTGCAAATTGATTGCCATGTTCATCCACAAAAATACAGTCACTGCATTTTACAGTACAATCCTGTGAAACATTTTGAGACATCATCAAACTATTGCAATTGAGATATCAATTACAATAATTATTATTGTTATTTTGGTTACTTACTAGAGAGCTATTGCTTACTACTAACAATGTTGAGTCCAATCAGAGTACATAATCCCAAGTTATCATGATGACTTAATAGTGGGTAGCATATCTAAGGTTTTCACTGAAAAGGTAAGGTTATGAAGCAGATACTTTTGTGATTCTATTCTGTCACATGTTTTCCATGTCTAATCTATATGATAAATATATCCTTTTATCAAGATGAGTATTTCATACTTTTTGCTGAAATAATAATATGAGTAGCAGGATAAAATGTGGTTCGTCACTGTGTAAATAAATGCAAGCAGTTGCAGTCAGCAATGGTAAAATCATAATATTTTATGGCTGATTCAATGGTTTAAGGATCCAACAATAAAACTGGTGAATTCGAAGTGTGATCGTGACACATGAGTAACAATTATTTCTATGTACAATAAGATTTTAAATTTTCATCTAATTTTTGATTTGCGGAGAAGATACTAAGAAAACAGTGATAAAACTATAATGTTTGATATTAATATTTCGATTTTGTGGCCAGTTGGCAGTTATTTGACCCACAAGAAAAAAAATGGGTGGCTTATTTCTTTTAATATAATTTGCATAATTTCAATGTAGGGTTCAAAACTTCCTGGTACAAATTCCAGTCACATTTTCATACAAGTTAATAGTAAATTACTAGATGCAATGATATTGGTATGTATTTAATGAATACACTGTTGTTAATAAAAAATGTTGTTGTAACTTAAAGCTGCTTTTATTTTTCACCTTCTCGATAGTTTGCAAAAATGATGTATTGCTTTGCTTCCAGCCGACCAGAAAGTAAAAGATCTGATTCAACCAAAGCCCATTTAACAAAGTCAGAACAGCTCCTTCGAATAGATGACCATGATTTTTCGATGCGACCTGGATTTGGAGGTAAAATATTTTATTAGATTGTTGTACATTTATGATGGTCTGAGACTGAAGTGATCCACACAGAATACATAATAAAACAATGAAGCAGCAAGAAACTACTACTTCTAACATTAACACAAGCATAACAGCATGGTGTCCAATAACGCTGCATGGAGCATTTTCAATACATCTCTGATCTCTATTACACCCTGTTTGTGGAACATTGTGTTCACACGATCAGATAAAGAAGGCTCTTCAAACCATTTGATCTCATACTTCCAGATTACCAACTCTACCACCTTCCCATTACAGATTCAAGCTGCTTCTTAAATGAGTCCCTTGACCTGGCCTCAACCATAACTTCCTATTAACCCATTCCAGCTGTTAATTGCCATATGGATAAAGAAATACATCCTGGTGTCTGGCCTAACATTACCTTCATAAACCTTAACGTGTTCCCTTTTGACTTGCTTCCAGAGAATTCTAGAATACAAAGAGATTTTAGCATGTTTTTGGCACCAGTTAGCCCCTGTCCCCACCAGCACAAGCATTACAAATGGTTAATTAATTTAATATGCATGCAAAGCTAAATTATTCAAATGTCAATTTGGACGTATTCCACAAATCCATTTTATTTAAGTGCAGATTTTAAGTTGTCAAGCTGTTTAGCCATATATTTTGTTGGCTCAATAGATGTCTATGTCAAACTGACCTTCTAAATGGAGATTTAGGTATTTCTATCAGGTTTGATGAATCTGATGGCATCCATTTGGTGTGGAAATAGTAGTATTAATATACTGTACAACAGATGAAAATACCAAAACCATAGTATAAAGATAATTTCATAGCAAATTGGTCAAACCTCACTCTTGCTAATTCCATGCAATACCTCAGAGGGGGAATTGAATTGATATCAGTACAAAAATATAGCTGCTCTGGGGATTTTGCAAGCCTCTGACCCTTATGACATTTCCAGAACAGCACTTGGAACAAGGAAAGCCCTGATAATGCAATTATTGTATTCCTCAGTGCTACAGTTTTTACTTCTGTTATGCCACTAGAGTAACAAAACAATAGCCATATTCAGTGACACCAGTGCATTAAATAAAAACAGAAGTCATGAAATGCAATAGCATGTTGATCAGATTCTGAAAGAGAAAGCTAGTTCACCTTGGATTTGCGTTGTAATATTTCATTACAACTCGTAAACAAACACACTCAAAAAACCTTTTTTCTCTTTCAGCTGATTGACCTGCAGTGCACGTCCAATATGTTAAACTTTTATTTCAGAATTCGATTGTTTTATCTCTACACAACGCACTATTTTTGGAATTAGTGAAAAAATATTAGTTTTAAAAAGGTACATTCAAATAGCACAAATAAAACACTCCCAGTAATAAATCATCACCTAAGACCAGCATTCCATTTTATTCTTCTAATACATTTTTTTGACAATACAATTTTAACAAGTAGCATCATAGCATTTATGTAATTGCATATCCATTTGCGATCAGTACTGACATGGTTTATATTTTTATTTGCCAGATTATTATGACTATTTTCTTCAGGTGTGAATTTTGAAATGGGAGTACATTTTGTCTTAATTTTGGATGAAATTGGGATAAGCTTGGATTAACTTTATTGTGTGTATTCTGGTTGGCTGCAGGGATAGCAAAATGGCTGGTTAGAAGGTCGTTTTGGCAGAAGGAAGTACAGAACGAGCTATCATTTTTAGACTCTGGAATAATGCTATTTTTTACCTGAATGTTAACTGTTCTAATTGTACAGAGATGTTCACTGAAGTAATTGAATATTAGTGCTCCACTTCAAACGACTTTAGTTAACAACAAGCTCAAACGACTTTAGTTAACAACAAGCTTGCTCAATACCAGCTGATATCATCGTATATTACAACAAATTAGTGTCCCGCCAACAAGCAAGACAAACAGGATGTATATTGCCATGTTTAGGTCACAATTAGGAAAATATTCTCAAGCTATACAGAGCTCTGTTCAGGCTACACCAGGAGTATTCTGCATATGATTCTGGTAATTGTGACATATTATCCAGGAGCTAGAAGCAGTGCAGAGAAGAGCATCGAGAATGATTCCCAGTGTCAGAGGAATAAGCTATGAAGGCTAATTGGACAAACTAGGGCTCTTTGACTTTGTCTCATAATAATAATCCTTGCATTTAATATAGAGCCATATCACATCTTCGAGATGTCTCAGTGCTTCACAGAATATGCTGTAAAGTAAATTTACTGTATATTTTGTGGGCAAAATATACAAATGGACATAGTAGGTTACTTGTAGAGTTATACAAGATTTAGTCAGGGGTGTCTAGCTGGCTCGGTTGGTAGCACTCTCGCCTCAGAATCAGAAGGTTATGGGTTCAAGCCCTACATTGGGCCTTGGAACTCACATGGTCTAAGATGACAATCCAGTACAGTGCTAGGGATGTGCTGCATTGTCGGAGATGTCGTCCTTTGGTCATCTAGAGAAAATAAACTTTTGCAAACCAGCTCCATTTTAGCTACCAACTGTTGAACAGAAAATACAAGCCACATTGTTATAAGGGAAAATACAAGGCACGTTGCTATTAGTTTTACATCACCAATTGAGTTTGAGAATATTTCTAAGATGTTTGTTATTCTATGTGAAAAATATTGATAATTCATTTGTAACTTGTTAAAACAAAACATCACACTATCTACATTAAACTATAGCCACAATGCGTTCCATTTATTTTAACTACAAAAGCTGCATATTTATTTTGTTGCCCTCATATACAATCAGGATACTGCTGATGGAATTTCTCTTTGAAGCAAATCCGAGTATGATCAATATGAACTAGATAAATGAATCTGCGGGTTTGACTCATCTGCTTTGGATAATAAACTCATTAACTATCTGTTGTTCTGTGTTCTGCCACAAATTGATTACAATAAACTAATTATTTGGAAACATCAGATCATCTTTAAACAAGGTTCAATATTTCTTCAAGCTCAGAAGCACAATAGACTGGAGCACTGCTACCCACCCAATTTACTGATCTGAGCCATACTGCTCTGTCCAGAGAGGAACGAAGATGAGAGGCTCTCAAAATGAAATTGAAGTCAATTTCATATATGTTTTTGGCTGAGAACAGTTTGACTGAAGGTCAGGAAGCAATAAACTCTTCGTTGTAGGTTGTGTATCATTTGGGGAGACCAGAACGAAAGGGAAAAATGACCAGAGCAATTTATACTTATAAAGGGAAATTACAATATTCTAGTAACATTTCTGTTCAGTAAGAAGGTTCATTTATCACATAATTTATTATTATTATTTAAAATATTGGAAGCGATTTTGCAGTCATCAAGGTGAAGCATGTCAGTCCTGGGGAATGGAGCATATGCCTGAACTTGGAGTAAAATGCAGGTAAAGTTCCTCTATTCCAGGCTGTTTTTCTGTTACTGGGATTTTGTAAATTTCAGAAACTGGAAATCACAAACCAGAAATTGCAATTAATGCAAAAATCACAAATTAGACTGCAATCTTCCTTTATTTTACTCAAAGGTGTTTTTATACTATATAGCATTTTTTTAAAAAATCTTACTGTTTTGCTATTATCTGGCAGAACATTCAGTTGGCCCCAATGAAATTGAAAAGGGATGAATAGGACATTGGGTATTACTACTGAAGGTAACATAAGGGCTGTTGTTTAACATATGACCTTATCATAATGCAAAATTCTTTATCCAAGTATCAGATTATTTAAAAAATATATATCCTCAACATGTTATTTTTTTGTAATCAGCTGCCGATTGATGGCCGATAAACCTGAAGTAATGACATCACTGTAATGACATAACCTTCTTTCATCGGCCATCCTCGGGTCTCAATCCTGGTTCTCTGTTAAATTAGCTGTTCAGGAACACAACTGACTATGGTGTCCTGAGCTAGGGAGAAGGGAAATCAGCAAGTGTTCCCACTCCTGCTTGCTATCTAGAGATCCATCAAGGTGCATGCTTGTGTGAGGATGAGATTCGGCCTGGCTGTGATGCCTGCTAACACTTCAATGCCTTGGCAGAGCTTGAAGAACAGCTGCCCGAGTAAAGCACTGGAAGCCGCATTGTGCTCATGGAACCACATCATGGCATGAATCAGGAAAGACAGGGACAAAAATGACAACTTAAAACAAATCTGAAATTACATAAGACATCTGCACTTGTAAGTAAATCTTCAGCAGCAAAACAGGCCATTCAGCCAACTAGTCCATGCAGGTCTTTATACTCCACATGATCTCTGCCTAACCTGCTCCTCAATTTCCTTCTCTCTTATGAAATGTGTTTTTAAAATGTTTTTAAGGTCCAGCAGTACCTGTTGGTATAGATGTACAGATCGAAAGCATCGACAGTATTTCTGAAGTTGATATGGTAAGACTGTGGCATCATCACCTTATGTGTGTAATATTCTTCAGTTGCTCTGTGTGCTGGTAATCTTGAGGTGCCTACTTAGACTTGGAAGTCTGCATGAATATATCAGCACAACAGAGTATCACCCCAGTATGTATCATACATATTTTATTTAATAGGAACAATTAAGATAAAGAGGTTCAGATTTTTTAAGATTTTAGCATTGTAGCAAAATATTTGGATCATTTCAGTTTTATTTTTTCCCCCAATTCAGTAACCACTTTATTTAAAGGAAATTATTTGCAAAAAGAATAAATATGTTTTTTGTTATCATTGCCATATATACTATACTTATCAAGGTGAAAAGGCATGATTTTAGTGCTAATATCACAATAGAAGTAATTTTGCTGCCAGTATTTTCATGAGTTTTTATTGTTAGCTGCTACCAGCAGATTTTCTCTTCGCTATTCCAGGCAGAAGGCAGCTATCACTGAAGTTCATCAAAGCAGGATTAAAATGCATCTTTCAGGGACTAAAACAAAGCATTTCTAATAGGATTAATATAGAAATAAGAAATTATTCATAAATATTGCATTCTGTCGGCAAATGGACATCTGTCATATTCTAGAACAGAGCTCCCACATGTTATTACCAGAATTCAGTATTCATGAGACCTTTGAAATTCCTGAATATTAGATTTCATTATTAAAATTGTAAATGTTGGACATTTGGGAATCTTTCTTTGCATATTGTTAAGTTGAGGTTAATCGGTGATATTGACATTTTGTACTCTTCACAATAAGTCTTCTGACTTGAGACCCACGTGGCTGCACTTTGTTTTCATGTGTAGGACTTTACAATGACATTATATTTGAGACATTACTGGAAGGATGAGAGGCTTACCTTTCCAAGCTCCAACAACAGAAGCATGACATTTGATGGAAGATTAGCCAAAAAAATCTGGATTCCAGATGTATTCTTCGTCCACTCAAAAAGATCTTTCATACATGACACAACGATGGAGAACGTCATGCTGAGGGTGTATCCAAATGGCAATATCCTCTATAGTCTAAGGTCAGATTCTCTGAATCCAATATTTGATTGAACTTTTGGGAATAGTGTGATGGAGTTACTTTCAAATTCAATTAGCTCTACTTTTAAAAACACACGCAGTAGTAAATGAATACATCTGGTAAATCTTCAAGGAGTTAATTAACACAGCATCAACTATCCATATATCCTGTATTCTATGGTGGGGGGAAAATATCTCTTTTTGTCTTGCTTATTCCATTGTCAGTCTGTGCTCTCACATAATGAAGCTTTCCTTTCTGTACATTTAGCATGCTCAATGACTACACAACAGTGTTTTGTAAAAACAACGCAGATACTTGCTAATAACAGAATAATATATTTGATGTAAACAGAACATTATAACTATACTCTATCAAGGTCATCAGGAATACAAGTTCTAAAAGGGCTTTATTCACTAAGCTTTTTCGGATTACCAAATGCATTATCACCAGGATTTCAGAAAATTTTCTGAAACAAACATATGGCTGATATTTTACTTTTGCCCCCCAATTTTTCTTCTTTCTTCTGAAGGTGACGATTCATGCTAAAACATGGTTCTGAAGCAATGACCTTGCTTAAATAACCATTTTTCATGTGTGAGCCTCGAGAGCGAGTGACTACTTGACCTGTGTTTATCCATGCTCTTGTTGACTGTTGGTGACTTACAAGAAATCCCATAAACAACCTGATGTGCTCTCAATAATAGAATCCGACTGGTAGCTGCCAACTTCAGTAATTCACTTCCTTTTTCTTTTCTGTAAAGGTTTCATTTATTTTATTTTGCTATTTTTTAGTACTGCACCAAGAATCATTCACAAAGCATTATTTGACTGTACTGTGAACCTTTTTTAAAAAAATCAACATTTGATTTCAGAACTTCAAAGTATTATTACCAACAATCCTATTGCTATAGAAAAGATTAAAAATTATGGTGATTTACCAGGCAGTATCCAGAGAGCACTGGGATTCCAAATAATCTACATACTATTTGAATTCTATTGTTTTTTTCCCCCCAATTACTTTTTGTTGTGTCCACCTGAACAGGCAGAAATGATCCCTTTCTCGCTTGTGCAAATGTTCCTTGAAGTCCAATGCAATAGGTGTGGAAGTACAATACAATAGGTCTTGAAATGTGGGAATGACTAATAATTCAGTGACTCAGCATATTTATGCAGTTGATCATGTTGACATTAAAAGCAACAATAAAATGTTCTCCTTAAGGTGTACCTCCATCTTATTTTTAATACATCACCTTTAGTGAATTTTAATCTATTATGCCAATTCTTTGAATGCATTTATGGCCAAAATTAAATCATAATATTTACACTGTGAATGTTTTCTGTAGGATAACAGTGACTTCCATGTGCTCAATGGATTTTAGCAGGTTTCCTCTTGATACTCAAAACTGCTCACTTGAACTTGAAAGTTGTAAGTATCTGCATGATTTTTAGCTATCTGGAGTCCTGTAGTTCAGTGGTTAGAGCACTCACCTCATGCTCGCCTCGCAAGCGAGAGATCTGGGTTCGATTCCCAGCAGGGCAAAATGTTGGCCAAGTTTCCTGCTCCACACGCCTGTTTACCTAGCAGTAATTAGGAACCCAGTTGTTAGTCGATTGGCAGATCGCTTTTCTGGGGGTACTAATCCTTCAAATAATAATAAATTGGTCACTTCAATCCACGACTGTATGTGGTACACTGCTGTGTGCAATTGGCTGCCCCGTTTCATCCACAAATTATACAGTATATTCTGTGAAGCGCTTTGAGACATCTCGAACACGTGATAAGGGGCTATATGAAATGCAAGATTATTATATGTAAATGTTAGTAAGTGCACATTTTTATTCTTTAAAACACCTGTTTCATGGATACAACAAACAACTCCTGAGTGTCAGTTGTGAGAATAATTTGTTAGTGAGCAGGTCACCCAAATCATTCACCCAGCACAATTTAGTAAACTGCTATTCGTCTCAGTTTATCTAGCAGTGTAATACTGTAGTCAATTATTTAATAATCTTTGCATCTGATACAGTACCTATAACATCAAAACATCTCAAAACACTTTCCAATAATAACTGCCAAGAGTAGTGACTATGTATTTGTAGCAATTATAGCAGCCAATTTGCAGATGAATGACAATTTAATTTTGGAGGGTTGTTGGCAAGAACACTAGGAAAATCTCCCTTCTCTTTTCAAATAGTGTTTTGGGTTACCATTAATGACTATTTGGATAAGTAGATAGAACGTGGCTTTAAAGTCTAATCCATAAGGACAATGTAGTGCTCCCCCAACCCAGTTTGCTGAATTATGCTGGGTGAGTGTTTTGGGTGATGTGCTCACTAACAAATTATCACAGTATCATAGAACATCATTGAGACTCGGATGTGTGTGATCCCTATCACCATTCCCAGTATTGAATTATGTAAAGCTGGTCTTACAGATTGGACATCTGGCTTGCAGATCCTAGCTTTCCATTGTTGGTTAAAGGGATTTGGACTTCCTGAGTATCTTACTTACTAAACATTTAGCATCATGTTATGCTAACCATTAGTCAAAGGCCCGACTTCATAGACTTTACCACTGAGAATAGCACATAGGTTGTTGTGATGGTGGTAATGGGAGGGACATACATCCAGTTTATTGATGCCCTACTTCGTCAAGTGGAACCCTGTCTGTTAACTGTGCGAATATTTCCCTCCAGATGCTTACAATGAAAAGGATCTAATGCTCTTTTGGAAGAATGGAAACAAATCACTGACGACAGATGACCAGATCTTACTTTCTCAGTTTTTCATAAAAGAATTTCGTGCATCAAATGGACTGGCCTTATATAGCAGCACTGGTATGTTTCTGGTACTTTGAACTGGCCTCGGAACTAAGATTTATTTTAGTAATCTGTAAAAGAAAGGCCATGGCTCTGAAATCTATATTAGACTGAGGCTTGTGAAACTAACAGTATAACTCTGATTTACCTGCAATTTCCTAGCAGTAAGTAGGAACTTGGTTATTAGTCGATTGGCGAATCACATTTCCAAGGGTAAAAATTCCTTTAAAAAACAATTGGTCACTCAATCCACGACTGTTTATGAGACAGTGCTGTGTGCGATTAGCTGCCACGTTTCGCCCACAAAATATACAGTCAATTCACTTTAGAGTATATTCTGTGAAGCGCTTTAAGACGTCTCAAAGACGTGATAAATCCCTATATCAAATTCAAGGATTATAAGGATTATTATAAATTCCCTTTCATTTATTTATGTTTGTATCCATTTTGATAAAGCGTTTATAGGAAATATTGCTATAATTTTACTTCGCAATTTTTTTTCCCTACAGGATGGTACAATAGATTGTTCATAAATTTCATCCTGAGGAGGCACATATTCTTTTTTCTTTTACAAACTTATTTTCCGACCATGTTAATGGTTATGCTTTCCTGGGTCTCCTTCTGGATTGACAGACGAGCGGTTCCAGCTCGGGTATCACTGGGTAACTTACTTTTATTTACTGCTGTTTTCCTTGGGATGTTTGTCAAAGTGAGGGGTATAGAGTCACACCCAATGTCAGTATCAAGTACTCCTAGATCAAATCTAGCACAGACAATATCAGGTGAAAGATCCCTCTACTCAATCCAAACTTTACTTCAAAGCTTAAAGCATAACACTCTATTGTAACAGAATAAATTTGCTAAACCCATCTTTATGGACTTCTTTAATTGGGATTCCATTTTAGTTCCAATTGTGGAATAATTAGAATCTAGACAAAGATAGACATGTTGAAACTCAAGAACTCAATTTTTAATCTAAGATATAACAACTACGAACAAGAACTGTCAGTAGCAGGAATGTGCCTTAACTATTAAATTCTAATCAACACACAACTTTGGCATACCCACCAAAGCAATTGGAAAGTCCCCAGGAGAACTGTTTCAATGTAGTACAGTCCCTCTTAATGATTTCTGAACTTAGCAGTAGGATGTTTTGATTTAATTTTATAGCCAATTAATTAATTATCAAGCTGCTGTGATTATCTATTATTAATTAATGTCAGTACTTTTTGTCAATTGATACGCTGTTAAACAGACCATGTCTGTTGGGATTATCTGTCAGCAGGTTCCCCTCCACCCTAGCTAAAATCATTTGGGAACAATGTTTCCTCTGGGTCAGAAGGTTGTGGATTCAAACCCAATTGTGAGCTAATAGACTAAGCTTACAATCCAGTGCGGAACTGAAGGAGTGCTGCATCATTGGAGGTGATGTCTTTCTGATGAAGTTAATCCAAAATCCCGTCTGCCTGTTCAAGGGGCTATTGATAACCCAATATGTGAAAATGATAAGGGAATATCACACAACTATTCTGTGAAAAAAATTCTCCTAGCCTCCCCATTGCTCATTTACTAACTGTTGTAAATTGATGCCTTATCTACAGTAATGATATAGTTACAACAACAACAAAATTACATTTGTATAGCGCCTTTCACTTTGGGAGGATGTCCCAAGGCACTGGACAATCAGTGTTTTGGACCCGAGTGGGGAGTCGGGATTGGGAAGGGTGGGAGGCAGGGGGGAAGGAGGGTGACCGAAGGCACGGTTGAAGAGGAGGATCTTGAGACGGGTCTTGAAGGAGGCAAGGGAGGGGGAGAGGCGGAGGGGCCAGAGTGGGAGCAGAGGGTGGGGGCAGAGGGGCAGAAGGCCCACCTGCCAATGGGAGGGTGGGCGAGGGGGGGATGTGAAGCATCCTGGAGCCTCCTGAGTGGAAGGAGCAGGCAGGTGGTAGGGGTTTAGGAGGTCGCAGAAGTAGGTGGGAGCAAGGCCATGGAGGGCTTTAAAAGTGAGGACCAGGATCTTGAACTGTATCCTATGGGAAGCCAGTAGAGTCAAGCAAGGTTTGGGGTGATAGAGTCACGGAGCTTGGTGCGGAAGAGGACATGGACTGCGAAGATTGAGCTGAAAGGAGCAGTGGTGTAGGATAGAATGGTCGACAGTGTTGAAGGCAACAGAGTGGTGGAGGAGACCAAGGAGGCAGAAAAAGTCCTGGTCGCAGATGTTCAGAATGTTGTTAGTTAGAAGCCACATTAAGCAAAACTTAACTTGGTTATTTTTTAGTTATAGTGTGCCTTTTACCTGTGAATAATCTATTAATTCTATTTCTTATTGAAAGGAATAACAATTATTCTGACAATGTCAACAATTATAACCGGTGTGAATGCATCCATGCCACGGGTCTCTTACGTGAAAGCTGTGGACATCTACCTGTGGGTCAGCTTTCTCTTTGTTTTCCTTTCTATCATTGAATATGCAGCTGTAAATTACCTTACTACTGTTGAAGAACGAAAAAGAATGAAGCACAGAGAAAAGGTACAACAGGCAGCACTGGATGTTTTTAATATGAATTTTAAAAATGTTTTTTTTAATGCAAGATGCAAATTAGTTATTTTAATGTAGGCCTGGTTGATTGGTAAATAGTTAACATTTAGCTAAAGAGAATACACATTTCACCTCTCCTGGTCAGATCAACCATAAAAAAAATTAAACAAAAAGACTTAGAAACCAATCTATGAACTCTAACTACAAAATCACTAACTTTGTTTCAAAATCTGAGGCTCTATTCTCTGAATCAGAAGATTTGGGTTCAAGCCCCACATTGGGCCTTTGAACTCAGAATCTAGGCTGAAGCTCCAATGCAGTACTGGTTACACTGCATTGTTACAGGTGCCATCCTGTGGATGAGATGTTAAAACAAGATCCTGTTCAGGTGGACGTTAAAGATCCTATGGCACTATTCAAAAAGAGAAGGGAGTTTCTGCCGGAGGCTTGGTCAAAAATCTCCCAGATAAAATTGGTCATTCATTTCATGAATGTTTGCGGGACAATACTGTGCACAAATTGGCTGCCACATTTATTTACAAAATACAGTCACAACACTTCACAAGGGCTTTGAGTATTCCTCCGAGCATGAAAGGTGCTATATTAAATGCAAGGATACAGAAAACAATGCGGTAATGATATAAATATAGTTTAACTTGTACAGAATGATTTGTGTTGCAGTGAAAGATTATCTTTTGTGGGTCCTTTTAAGCTGTGCCAAACCACTCTTATATGGATCCTCTGAATAAGCAACAAGAAACATTTATTTTTCCTTTAGTTTCCAGAATCCTTTTCGTTGAATCAGACGCAGAACATGGCTTTTGACGGCTGCTACCACGATAGTCAAGTTGACCTGTCAGACTATGGAGAATCTCACTTAAATGTGTCAAATGTTGAAACAAGAGAGCGTACACCTTGCGCAAATCTGGGTGGGCAATCACTGAGGAGGACGAAATCTATGAAAGAAAATGTCATCGAAATAATTATAAAGAGCAATCATGCTATCGATTCTTATTCAAGGATTCTGTTTCCTGCAGCATTTATTGTGTTCAATGTTATTTACTGGGGTATATTTTCATAAAGCATGTAGCCACTGTCAACCTTTTTATTATAACTTCTGAATTGTACATTTTGAATATTATGTTTAATGATAGGTTTCATTGCTGTAAGTACTGTCAGCCTTTATAATTTAACTTCTGAACTGTATATACTGTATTGTGAACATTTTGCCTAACATACTGGATATCAATTGAAAAGACTGTACAGGAAGAGGAAAATGTCTAGACTTTTTAAGATCTTTGTCTTTCCAACTGAGATGATGTTTTACTCATTCAACACTCGAGTATTAAAATTTGCTTATTTTCTGTTATATACTATCTTAAAATAATATTTCGTAAAGTTTTGAAGCTAAATATAAATACCATTTCAAACATTGCAAACCTGTACAATATTTATTTTTCGCAATTACCTATACCTGAGTGCAGTAGTCCAATGCTCAAAAGGTTTAGTCTGGGGATACATGAAGTAGAAATAACAAAACTACTATATTCTCACACTGTAACCAATCAGAACCATTAATGTGCATGCATATAGCTGAGTTAAAGTACATGTGTTTGGGGGTGAATAGAAAAACATTGCAATGTAGGTGGTGGCCTGGAACTTCAGAATCTCAGGCTGCCACCTAAAACTAGATGATCCATAGTTGAGGGAATTGATGTTTTAATGCTCCGAGATGCTCCCCTGTGTGAAAGATGCTATATAATGCTTTATATGCAAGTTGATGTTGTTGAGTGGGTTTTATCAGTTCTCAGCCAAGTCACTGGATGGAGCATCTGGTGTCTTGTCTTTTGGTAGGATTGGAAGAAAAAACTCCCAATGTCCATACATAGGTGTCAGCTTGGCTTGGTTGGTCACAATTTTGCCTCTAAGAAAGAAGGTTGTCATTTTAAGCATTATGAATTTGAACTCATAGTCCAGGCTGACCAATGCAGTCAAGATGCGTTGCAAGTTTCCTTACTCCACACAGAGCCTAATAATAATCCCTCCAAAAAAACCAAAAACAATAATTAAATTGGTCATTTTCAATCTACGACTGTTTGTGGGACATTGCTGTGCGCAATTGGCTGCCGCGTTCGCTCACAAATATACAGTCAATTCACTTTACAGTGTGTTCTGTGAAGCGCTTTGGGACGTCCTCCCGACGTGAAAAGCGCTATATCAAATGCAAGGATTATTATTATTATTATTGTTGGAGGTATCATCCTTCAGATGAGATCTTAATCCAGGATCCCAGCTGCCTGTTCAGGTGGATGCTTAAGACCCCATGACACTATTCAAAAAGAGAAAGGAGTTTCTCTCAGTGTCCTGGCCAATAAACCCCAGATAAAATTGATCATTCACACTTCATGGCTGCTTGTATGAAAATGGGCTGCCACATTCGCCGATAAATACAGTTACTATACTTTACAATAAAATCCTGTGAATTGCTTTGAGACATCCTCCTGATATGAAAGGAGGTAAACCAAATGAAAGGATTAGTATTATTTCATTATTAACGTTGTTGCGACCAATCTCTGGGCACTGGTGGTGTTAGGTACATTGCATGCTGCCCTGAGGTAGTGAGGGGCCCCTTGCCATCATGAAAACCCATTTAAATCGCTTCGCTGCCAACCTAACCCTGGGGCCAATGTGGCATATACCCTAGGCCTGTCACTGGAGGAGCATTATCCTCTCAGACCGCTATTTTCCAAATTGAGTCGACTTGCATACATAGTTACAATATTGCTATCTGGTGTCAGTCCAATATATTTAAAAGCGGAAAGGAGCATAAGCAGGAAGAAATCAATTAAGAAAGTAATCAAGGTTTAGATCCAACAAAATCTGTCTTGATAGCCTCAGAACACATTGCAGTTTTGCTCCATTTATAGTCATAATTTCATGGTGTAGCATATCTTCAATCCAGAATTCCTGGGGCATCTGGAACCACCAGAATGAGCCACCTCTCTGCAGCCACTCAAGCAGGTGTCAGATTTTTCTGGTCACCAGGTAGAGCAGTGCCAGGTGTGTCCTTCGAAATATTTTTATTTTCCCTTCCTGAAGACTTCCCGAAGTTGAGTCCTATTTAACCACCGCCAGCACTCCATCTTGGCCAATGTTTTTTCCTCCCGCCCCCAGCTCAGTCACCTGCGGGGCGCCCCAAGGCTCCAACATTGGCTCCCTTCTTTTCCTCATCTACATGCTCCCTCTCGGTGATGTCATCGGGGTCAAATTGCACATGTGTGCGGATGACACCCAAATCTACTCCCCTTCTCCAGCTGCGACTCCCAGTCCATTGATGTCCGCTTATTCGATGGGCATCAAGGTCTGGATGACCGCAAATTTCCTGCAGCTAATGTCGCAAGTTGTAAGCCATACTCTTTGGCTCCCATCAACGTCTTCTCTCTTGCGGATCTGAACTCCTCAACTTCCCTGGGCTCTCCCTCAGACTCTCCGAAACCATGTGCAAGTTAGGCATCAGGTTCGATCCCTAGCTTTCCTTTCTCTCCTGACCAGGACCATGTTTTTCCATCTCCACTGCATTATCCACCACCGTCTGTATCTCACAACCGATGCAGCTGAAACCCTCATCCACTCGTTTGTCACTTCCCAGCTGGACTATTGCAATGCCCTCCTCGCTGGTCTCCCCAGCTCCACCATACACAAAATCCAATTAATTCAAAACTCTGCATCCCGGATACTCACCCGTATGAAACTCCATCACACCAGTCCCTGCCAGGCTCCACTGCCTCCCAATCACCGAATGGATTGATTTCAAGATCCTCTCACTCATTTTCATATCCCTCGTGCCCTCACACCTCCCCACCTACCCGATCTGCTTACCCTCCACTCCACCCCCTGCTGCCTCTTCTCGGCTGACTCCGGCCTCCTGTTCGTCCCTCATCCCTCCGTTCCACCATCGGTGGCCATGCCTTAGCTACGAAACTCTGGAACTCTCTCCCTCAATCCCTCCGCCTTGCCCCCTCTCTCCCCGCCTTCGAATCCTGCCTAAAGACCTTCCTTTTTGTTGCGCTTACAGCCACCTTCCCCCTTCCTCTCCCTCGTTGTGGAGTCCCGTAGTTCGATGGATTGAGCACTCGCCTCTCAAACGAGAGACCTGGGTTTGATTCCCGGCAGTGAAACCTCGGTCAAGTTTCCTTATTCCACACGCCTGATTCATATATTATTGCTTTATCTCATGTTATTGGGGTTAATGTTTTATAATGATATATGGTAATATATGTTTTACATAAATGTAGTGTTTTATATTCTATAGATTTTATATTCTCCCACAAATATACAGTCAATTCACTTTACAGTGTGTTCTGTGAAGCGCTTTGAGACGTCCTCCCGACGTGAAAAGCGCTATATCAAATGCAAGGATTATTATTATTATTATTATTCTTTCTATTCTATATAGTTTATATTCTATATAGTTTATATTCTATATAGTTTATATTCTAGACATTTTGCTTTCTATGTAGTTTACATTCTATGTGTTTTATATTGTTCATATTCTATAGGTTTAATATTGTATATATGATGTATATTTCACATTGTAGTAGTGGGTTATATCTTACAGTGTTTATGTGATAGTGTATGTTGTATTGTATTGTGGTGTTGGTGCTGTGTGACACGTTGGTGTGTTCCTGATGGTGCACTGAGGGCGGACCCTGTGCGGCGGGTGACGCGCCGCCCGGACACCATTCGGGGAAGGACCGCGAGTCAGCGAAGAGATGGCGTCCTGTTCATGAGAGGAAAGAGAAAACAACCCGACAACGAGGAGCGCTGGTGAGCAGCGGGGAGCCCGAGGAGGCAGAATTATACGCTGCACAAATACTCTGGGGGAAAAGAGAGCGGAGGGAGGGAGGGAGACCGGGAGAGAAAAGGGAGAGAGAGAGAGAGTGAGAGTGAGAAAGGAGCAGAGAGAAACAGAGAAAAATGGGCAAAGAGAGAGGGAGAGAGGGAGAGGAAAAGGGGAGGGAGAGAGAGAGAGAGAGGAAGAGGGGAGGGAGAGAGAGAGAGAGGAAGAGGGGAGGGAGAGAGAGAGGAAGAGGGGAGGGAGAGAGAGAGGAAGAGGGGAGGGAGAGAGAGAGGAAGAGGGAGGAGGGGAGGGAGCGAGAGAGAGAGGAAGAGGGGAGGGAGAGAGAGAGGAAGAGGGGAGGGAGAGAGAGAGAGAGGAAGAGGGGAGGGAGAGAGAGAGGAAGAGGGGAGGGAGAGAGAGGAAGAGGGGAGGGAGCGAGAGAGAGAGGAAGAGGGGAGGGAGAGAGGGAGGAAGAGTCCATCCATTGGCGTGCAGGGTTAACAGGAGCTGAGTGGGATGGTTCCCTGCCCCCAGTGTCTGATCTGACCTCCAGGTTGGCTGTGCTGCCATCAGCAGTGCCCTGGACCACAGGAGGACCCACCGGGCTCCGGACCTGCAGTACAGCGGGCTGGCTCCACTCCCACAATCTGTTGCCAAACTTGTCACCTTGGGGCCAGCTTGGTCCTCAGGAGACCCAGCGCACCTCTCTTTCTGCCTCCCGCCCCCAAGGAAAATTGAGAAGAGAAGGAGGTAGAGAGAGAGAGAGAGAGAGAGAGACGGTAGGAGGGAGAGAGACGAGCGACAGAGACTGGGGGATGGAGAGATGGAAGGCTGAGAGAGCGAGAGGAGGAATGTGGAGAGAGAAAAACAGCAAGAGACAGAGTGGAAGAGAGGGAGAAGAAATGAATTGAAAGGCTGGGGATGGGGCGGGGGAGTGAGAAGATGCGGGAGATGGAAGAAGAACAGGGAGGGAATCAGATTAATGGGGGGTGGGTGGTAAACAACAGTGAGCCAGTGAGTAATCAGGAGAGAAAAGCATGAAATAATCTGGAATATGGATAGTACATCAGAATTTTCAAATTTGGTGAAAGATAATATTGAATCATCTCTGGATGTATATAGCATAATTATAGTGATATGTGGGAATAGCTGATTGTTGGATATTTTGTTTTAGATGCCATTTGACAGCTATGACAACACACGGATTCAAAAATAGCAAACAAGAATTTAACTTTGGGCCATGGAAGCTCACTGCCAACAAAAGCCACATAATGAAATCAAAGGACATTGAAAGGTATGGATTGATCTTATTTTACCTTTTATTTCTAAAGGCATTTACAAATTAAACGCTTTGGGATGTCCTACGATGTGGAAGACGCTATATATGTGCAAGATGCTATAAAATTGTATTGTATTTTAAATCCCTAAATACTCTCACCTCTCTGCTTGGTAAACTCAGGCCGGCTGCATGTCCTTCAACCCCTCCGCCACCATTAACAGCTGAGCCTTCAGCCAACATGCCCCTACTCCCACTCAAAATTGAACTCGAACTCCCACTCAAAATCTTTTTATCTTGCCCCGCTACCTGTTTTTCAAAGACTCCAGAAAGCCTACCTCTTTGACCGTGCCCAGGCTCTTCAACCTCTCTCTTACCCTCTCTGATCTCTGTCTGGCATGGTCTCTGTGAAACGCTTTGAGATGTCATCCTGTTTGAAAGTTGTTGTATAAATGCAGGTTGTTGTTTAACACATTTGAGAGCAGCTGTTCATTTATGTGATAAAGTATTCAGATGCATAACATTTGAAACCTTTCTTAATTTTTGATTCATGATCAGCAAAATGAAGTATTTGATCATCTCTAATCTGTAATAAATTTGTAATACTGTGTTTATACTGCACATTGGGTGACAAATTAAGTGGTTGTTATTCATTCATTGCCAACTGTCTCAGGCGATGAGAGTAACATTGACATTGCACTCCTTACACAAGTGGAGGTAGCTTCGGTAATAATGCGAAAAATCATGCTGGCTTGCTCTCCTAAGATTCGTTCCAATCTCTTGGGCTGCCTTATTTCCTGCACGCTTTGTAGGATTTTAGCATAAAAAATAAGGTGTGGAGTGGAGCGTGTCATTCCAGTTTTGCGCTCCACATCTTTATGCTGGAGGAAACAATGCACTTTCACTCCTAGCAATATAAATGCAGCGTAATGGAATTATGGAATAGAATCACGCAATGGAATATTACTTTTTGTGGCGATTGAACATGTGAACTGTGATTACTTAACATGGATGAAAACCCTTTAACAAATGTAACTTTTCTGAATATCTTAAATACATTGTCCTTATTGCAGGTTAGCTGAGGAGATGAATATACACAGCCTTCCAGAGATGTTGTTTGGTGATAACATATTGAAGGTGCAGCATGCTGGCGGGTTTGGAATTGTGTTCAATGCTACAGATGCTCTGAGAAGAGTGGATAATGGGCACGGAACAGTGAAAGTAGCATGTGCAGATGCATGGCAGGAGAGCCGGTGAGGTCAATCAATTGCTGCAATTGCAAATGTTGTCCTTTAGATTTCCGTCAACAATATAATTGTCAAAATATGAACGGACAGGTTTGATGCCTGTATGACATGGTTCGTTATTGTACCTATATCTGAATTGATTGTTGAAATCCTGTTATTTGGAAGATGAACAGTAGCAGTAACCCTTAGACTTGTGCAAAGTGAATTTTGTAATGAATCCAAATTAATTTCAGTTTAAAGAATAATCCTTGCATTTGATATAGCACCTTATCATAACAAGTGTTATTAATTTATTTGTGATGTTCAACAACAACAAAATTACATTTGTATAGCGCCTTTCACATCCGGGGGAGGTCCCAAGGCGCTGGACAGACAGAGTTATGGACCCAAGCTGAGGGTTTTTCAGTTTTTTAACTGGGCATGTTAATAATAATCATAATCCTTGCATTTGAAATAGCACCTTATCAAGTCTTTGAGATGTCTCAAAGCGCTTCACAGAATATACCTTAAAGTGAATTGACTATATTTTGTGGGCGAAATGCAGCAGCCAATTGCACACAGCAGTGTTCCACACACAGTCGTGGATTGAGTCAACACTTTTTTTTAAAGGAATTATTACCCTGGAAAAGGGATTCACCAATCAACTAGTAGGTAAACAGAGGCATGTGTAATAAGGAAACTTGCCCAACATTTTGCCCTGCTGGGAATCAAACCCAGGTCCTCTCGCGAGGCGATTGCTCTTACCACTGAGCTACAGGATTCTACGAGTTACAGGACTCCATATATATATATATACATACACACATACAAATTATCTTGATAACATCATCTGTACTGTATTAATTATAGTTGTTGAAGAAAAAATATATTAATTTTCACTTGCGATAAGTGAAGGGAGAAATGTTCTTGGTGTTTAGATCATTACAGAATTAATGTATTGCCTGATTTAATTTTAGGGCCGATTCCGAACACAGCAAGGAAATTGCTAAATCCTACGATTGGACATTTACAACGGATTATAAAGGAACACTAATGGGTGATCAGGTGAAGTTAAAGGTAATTTATACAGACATTGACTTTAATTAACTATCTCCTTTATTCAAGCCATTGTTTGACTTGTAATGCCAAAGATTGTTTAGCCATTTCTGTTGCTGAGGATCTGCAAATTATGATTATAAATGTACTAGAAGTAACAAGATTAATCATGGTATGTTTCCAAGTGTATGAGGTATCCTGTGAAGCAAGGAAAATGTGTTAATTGACTATAGATGTACTTTCTTTGCACATAGTTGTAGTGCAGGTGTTCTTGAACTGGTTACATTCTCCTTTGCAGGTTACTCCCACAACTGACCGCATTGATTTGGAGAAATTGAAAGCAAGAGAACAGATCATGTATTTTGAAGAGGTTTTGCTGTTTGAAGATGAACTTCACGATCATGGGGTTTCCATGCTCAGTGTTAAAGTGGTACGCTAGCTGGTGATTTACAAATTCAAAAATTGTTAAGAATTCCATCCCTAAAGGAATGAAAACTCCAAAAAAGAATGACTGTATATTTCACCTATATGACAATTATAGATGTTCAGGCCTTAAATTCCTCAGAATTCAAAGATTGTTCAGAATTGTGGAAAATTATTAAATTCAATTTTAATTTGGTAGATGGTTTTCCACTTTTTTTAATATACTGTAATATCAACCTCAGGAAAAAAATTGCCAAATTAAGATTGAATTTAAGAACTTTCCAAAATTCTGCAGGATCTTGCGTTTTAAGACATTGTCTTATGTCTAATATTCATTACTTTCTGATTGTCACCAAAAACCTTGAACCTTGTATGTGTGCTAAAGCTGATGTAGCCAACTTGGTTTTTAGAGGGAGGTGAAAGAAATGTGTTTCAATAACGCTAATGAAGTATACACTAAAAATGCTAAGAAACATTAACCTGTTCACAGTTCTCACCCCTTTTTCTCAGTTTGTTTGTCAGTTTCTCATCTCTCTTATTTCTCCTGAAGGCTATGACTCTAGTTGGATAGGGATCTACAGGAGCCAGCAATCCTCTAGTAATGGAAATTGTTCATGTGTTGGCAGGCTACTTGATCAAGAGAACATCCCAGCTGAGCCTGCCCCTTTGTACATACACGCATAAGTATGGAGTTAACTAGATATATGTGGAGATTCTGGCTAATATATCTATTTTCCCTCCCACCCCTCCGAGGACATTGAGGTTAATTGTAGTGCTCTGCCACCTAGGCTTTCAGTAGCTGTGGCTAAGAAACTAAAGGATTTTTTTTTCCCCCTTTCAGAGAGTGATGCCATCTAGTTTCTTCTTGCTGCTGAGGTTTTTTTTGAGAGTTGATGGTGTGCTCATCCGGACAAATGACACAAGAATATATCACGAGGTAAGGATACAAACTCGATATTTTCTTCCTCTGTTATAACAATTGTATGGTATTAGAACTTTCAGTTCTAGTCACTGAATTATCATTTTTGTTTGCTACCTACCACTATCTCTCCCTCCCCTCAGGCTGCAGAAACCCTCATTCATGGTTTTGTCATGTCTAAGCTTGACTCCCTATTCACCAGATTTCCCAACTCTTCTCTCCATAGGCTACAGATTATTCAGAACTTTGCAGCTCGTGTCTCTCCCACACCAAGCTCTACGAGCCGATCACCCCAGTTTCACTGGCTCCCCATCCTCCAGAGGATCAATTTTAAGGCATTCCTCACGGCTCTGTCCTTGGTCCCCTCCTCTTCAATATCTATATCCTCCCTCTTGGTGACGTCATCCGCAGATATGGAGTCAAGTTCCACATGTATTCGGATGACACCCAACTCTATCTCTCTGCCTCCACCCTCGACTCCAGGAAAATTGCATCAAGTCCTGGATGAGAGCTAACTTTCTACAGTTGAACGTCAACAAGATCGAGGCCCTCCTGATTGGCTCCCATCAGGGCCTCCACACCTCAGGCGCAGACAGCTTCACCATCCAAGGGTGCTCACTCCACCTTACTAAGCCAGTCTGGAACTGTGGTGTCTTGTTTGACCCTCAACTATCTTTTCTACCCCACATCTGTGCCATGACCTGCTCGGCCTTCCCCCACCTCCGCAACATCGCCCGAGTCCACCACTGTCATACTGCAGGCCGCAGAGACCCTCATACACACATTCATAACATCCAGGCTTAACTATGGAAACTCCCTGCTTGTCGGCCTCCCCAGCTCCTCCCTCCATAGGCTGCAGGTCATCTAGAACCCTGCAGCCCGTTTCCTCTCTTGCACCAAGCTCTGTGACCCCATCCTTACCCAACTCCTCCGGCTTCCCATCACACACAGGATACAGTTCAGGATCGTGTTCCTCACCTTCAAAGCCCCCCATGGCCTTGCTCCCCCTACCTCTACAACCTCCTAACCCCCTACCAACCTGCCCACTCCCTCTGCTCAGTGGACTCCAGCCTGCTTCATGTCCTCCGCCTCGTCCGACCCACCATTGGCGAGCGGGCCTTCAGTCACTCTGCCCCCACCTTCTGAAACTCCATCCCACAGTCCCTCCGCTTCATCCCCTCCCTTGCCTTCTTAAAGACCGGTCTCAAGACCCTCCTCTTCGACCGTGCCTTCGATCACGAAACCTTGGGCAAGTTTCCTTACTCCACACGCCTAATAATAATCCCTCCAAAAAAAAACAATAATAAATTGGTCATTTTCAATCCCTGACTGTTTGTGGGACATTGCTACGCGCAATTGGCTGCCGCGTTCGCCCACAAGTATACAGTCAATTCACTTTACAGTATATTCTGTGAAGCGCTTTGGGATGTCTAGAAGACGTGAAAAGCGCTATATCAAACGCAAGGATTATTATTATTATTATCACTCTCCTTCCCCCCCTGACCTCCACTCTCTCTGATCCCGACCCCCAGCTTGAGTCTGAAACACTGATTGTCTTGCCTTGTGACGTCCTCCCGAGACGCTATACAAATGTAATTTTGTGGTGGTGTTAAGATCCTCACCCTCACTTTCAAAGCACTCCACAGTCTTGGTCCTCTCTATCTCTGCGACCTATGAATACCTTACCGCTGGCATGCTCCATGTCCCCCACCCTGCACGCCCCACCATCAGCAGTCAGGCCTTCAGACTTCTGCCCCCACTCAGTGGAACTCCATTCAGGAGCCCCTCCTTCTTGCCCCCTCCCTTGCCTTCTTCAAGGCCTGTCTCAAGACTTTCCTCTGACTGCGCCTTCCGTCATCCTCCCACCCCTATCTCACTTGGCCCCCATCTCTCTTGATTCCAACTCCCAGTGGCTTCCTTTCAGGAATTGCATGGAGGTGTTCTGCTTTAATTTAGTTACTGTTTGCAATGGCCACCTCAGCATCACAGCTGACTGGGGTGGGCTCATTCTTTGGAAAAAATAATCGTGAGAGCTGCTTTATTGGATTGTGAGAATGTGTTGCCCAAATTGCCCCAGAAAGCCAGAAATTCAGAAATAGATAGGTTTGTTTAATGATACATGATTGGGAAATGAGGGTATGAAGGATTTGGAGAAAAAGTGGAAAAATGGGATTGAACGACTTGCCATGAACTAATAAAATGGCTGAACAGGTTTGACAGGCTGAATGGCCTGCTCTTATTGTAGGCCATTCTGGTGTGTCAAAATTGCTTACCTGGCATTAAAATGTTCAGCCTTCAGTAAGCTATCCTGGATATCAATTCAATTAAACGAGACTCAGAATTCAACTTCAGTTACCAACAGCAATTACCTATCTCAATTAGAACTTTGACTGTTACATGTCAGCTGAGAGTCATGCAGCACATCAGTTTGTTTAGATGGGAGTATGTGTTTGGGACCTTTTGAGATTTGCACAAACTCTTGTACTATTGATCATCAATTGGACACATTCTAGTTCAGTTACCAGATTAAGGTCTGACAGCCTAGTTAACACGATTGGTGTAGCGGACAGGAAGCATGATAAGTGTAGATAAAATAAAAATATAACATAAGCAGGGAAAGAAACTTGAAAGGAACAGTGAAAGTATTTTATTTTGAACAAAGTACATGTTTATAATTATTCTATTGATTTAACATCCTTTTTTCTTCATAGGCTGATAAAAACTACCTTCTCTCTGAATACACCTCTCGGGAAAGTAAGATGTCATCTCTTGAGGTAACTTGTTTTTTAAAAAAAGGTTGCACTAGTTCAGCAGTGCAAATGCATCAGGATAAACAGATTCCCTAACATTGAAATATTGCTGGCAAATCATCAAATGTGAGACAGAGAGATAATTTTAATGGAGTCCTGTAGCTCAGTGATTAGCGCACTCGTCTCGCAAGTGAGAAACCTGGGATTGATTCCCGGCAGGCGAAACGTTGGGAAAATTTCCTTACTCCACACGCCTGTTTACCTAGCAATAAGTAGGAAGTTGTTAGTTGATTGGCTGATCGCGTTTCTGGGGGTAATAATTCCTCCCTCCCAAAATAATAATAATAAATTGGTCACTCAATCCACGACTGTTTGTGGGACTCTGCTGTGAGCAATTGGCTGCTGCGTTTTTCCTACAAAATATAGTCGATTCACTTTACAATATATTCTGTAAAGCACTTTGAGACGTCTCAAAGATGTGATAAGGTGCTATATCAAATGCAAGGATTATTATTGTTATTATTTCTGTCAGAATCAGGTAATTGGAGGTTTGCAGAAGTAAATGCAGTCAATTGTACTCAAAATAAGTCACAAGCACAGCTACTACTAATAATTGACCTCTGCATTGCATGGAGTTCAGGTTTACGATTTATTTTCTGCACTTTACCAGAAAACAGTAGGTATGCGGACAGTTTTCTGATCTAATTGAATTCTGTTGTTTTCAGAACATACCGCCATCTCTCTACACTGATCCAAATGAGATCTCCCAGTATTTACCTCTTAAGTACTTGCTCTGTGAGAAGTTGGAATTTCCTCCGGGTGTGGACAACACCTCAGTATGTGGAAGCGCGCAGAACTCAGCGACTATTGATAGTACAAATACACCACCAGCAAAAACGTGACATTCTACAAGGAGGAAAAACAAAGTCGTATTTTTTTAAAAATGTGATAGATTAGTATAATCATTTTTTTCATTATTTCAAAAGTGGCATTTCTGAAAAATTACTGATGTGAATTTTATCTCCTATATTCGGCAGTTAAAATTCTTAAATTGATGCAAATGACATTTGGTGTATTAAAACAATCTTAATTGGCTTGTTCCAGTAGCTACAGTAGAAGTTAAAATGGTGACGTGAAAGTGCAGCTGTGGATCTGACTTTTTGTGATGTGATGTTTCTATTTTTTGCTGGTGAAATCTTGAACTTGTTGACATTGGAAACAGCATGGAATTTTACTGCCCAATGAACAATTAAAGTGAAAAATTGGCAGAAATAGGGCATATGGTTTTAAGCAGTACTAAATGCATTGTTCTGGCATATTGGCATTAAGAGTATGCTCACAAGTGTGCCTCAGCATAGGTACTGTCTGTCACTACAATTAATGTGTGTTTTCTTGTGTACTTAGTAATTTGAAGCACGCATCCATGTAGGTGATTGTCACAGGCAGCCATTTATTGCAAATTACTTTTGTGTAGTTTTGCTTTGCTGATCAATCAAAATAAGCCAATAATGGGTATCTTTAAAAAAAAGTTTGAATGTATAAAGTCTAACTCAAATAAAGATTGATTTCTGAATAGAACGTTTATTGAAACAACTCTTTGAATTATGTTTGCTTCACAGCCAGTGTCTACATCAATGTAGTTTATTTGTGAATTTACTTTTTACTACTTTCAAACCACTCCACTACTGTCCATAGTGTTATCTTGAGATTGTTAAATACATTCATTAGCAATGTAAATGGAGCAAGAGAAACCCACATATTAGTATACGTTTATATGCACTTCTTGGATTAATGTTATGTTAAAATTGTTTTTTTGCTTTAGAAAATAAACTTTAATTTAGGGAAAATAATTAATTTTATATTTTTAAAATAAATATATTATATATACTGCTTAGAATTGATGCATGGCATTTAGTTTGTTGTCCTACTATGCTGTGCAATTATAAAATAAGATCTCTTCAACAATTAATGTTGAACTCTCTTCTAAAAGGTTTATTGGGTAGACTTCACACTAACAATGTAATATTTAGTTCATAATTATGAAGGGATAACAAATATACCATATCCATAATATTTTTCATGCATAATATTGTGATGAAAGATTTTCACTCATTCCCCTAGGATGATGAATTGAAACTGATTTGAAGTAGAACTATTGGTAGATGTTAGAGGCCTAATGTTAACAATGAGACTTAAAAATCCTTTGTATAGCATGCATTGACTTTTTTTCTTTTTGTTTTTACACATTGCCCCTCATTTCAAATGCTTTTTGGCAATTCAACTCAGAACCATCTAGCAAAGGACCTCAGACACCAAATCGCTACGTTTTTGTTTATCTTAAATAACCCCAAATTGTATATCAATGGCTGTCCTTGCAAAGCTTTTCTGAAATGTTACCCTACGTGAAGGACACTATATATAATAATTTGTTTTTGTACGCTTCAAACCTGGTCAGACATTTGTTCTGAGGCTACATTCTGGCAGCCAACCACTTTAAAATCTCCTTACCAATTGCTTTCCATGAACACTTAGTCTGTAGTCTTATGAAAAGAAAATACCTTCTTTACTCTTCCCAAAACAAAACATTAAAGAGAGTAGGAATAAGCTGGAAAACAACATACCATTTGAATATGTTAATGGTGAATAATTAAAAAGTATTTATTAATACTTGTAATAAAATAATTGCACAATATTTCTGGACAAAACCAAACCCTTAAAAGTATTGAACCCATTATCTCTTGTGGGAGATTCTTTTTCAAAGGGTCTGCATTTGACTTGGTGATCCAAAGCTGCTTCCCTTTACAACAGTAAGTAACTTAATCAGGATGCCGGGCAGTGAGGTTTACAGTGAGTCTCAGGCCACGAATATGTGGCACTTGATCAACAAATATTGCGCTGCGCAGCACATTTCCTGGTGTCCTGGCCAACAATCCCTCAAATAACATTGGTCATTCGCTTCATGACTGTTTGTGGGACATTGATGTGCGCAAACTGGCTGCAGCGATCCGCCCACAAGCACATAGCCTTTCCGACGACGTGATAAGGCGCAATATCAAATGCAAGGATTATTATTAATAATCAGGGCCCCTGAAGCTTTTATAGTTTTAAAGTCGGGATTAAAGCAGAAAACACTGACGCATTTGAGAGGAAACCCAAAGCATTCAGAGGGTATAAGTGGATGGGGCGGGGGAGCCTAGTGTATGAGAATGGGGTGATGTGGAGGGGTATAAACCCAGGCACAGGTATATATAGTAATATGCAATGACAGGACTGCCAGAGGAATCACTGGCTTCCAACAAGAGGGAGAGGAAATGAGAGATAAGAAGTGAAGTGTGGCTCTGCAGGTGTGAGCGGATCGCGGCAGCAGCTGTTAGCAAAGGCGCTGCCCCTCTCAGGTTATAGCCCAAAGTCCATCAAATACTAGCCCAAAAGTAGCCCAATATTATGTGTTGCCCCCTATGGGTAGCTGAGCGGCCCAATTGAGGTTAGTCCTTTTTTACACTGGAAGAAAAGATCTTCAGAGGCGGGAAAAAAATACCCTCCCGGTTTAAATTACTACATTTAAAAAAATAGACCCCCGCCCAAAGCGGGGTTTTCACGCACAATAACAACAAAAACCCACCAAACCCGCGGCCGCCTTCAGCCCCGGAACTCTTGAGACAGGACTCGGGTTCCTGCCGGAAGCGGTTCAGTGCCACACGGCTCGGGAGCTCACGAGCCGCTGTCTCTGGCGCCGAGGCCGCGAGGTTTCCGTTGGCTGACGGTTGGGCGCGCGGCCCCGGACACGAGAGGAAGGTGACGCGAGGCGACGCCGCCCCCGCTCCCAGGTACCGGGATCACTACCCCCCCCTCCCCCCCGGGGACACCAGAGCAGAGAGGGGGGACCTGACCTGGGGACGGGTGGACAAAGGCCTTTCCTGAAGAAGAGGAGAGCGGGTCCCCCCCTCCCCGGGGGCGGGAGGGTCACTCGTGGGGGGAGGGCTCTTGGAGAGGGCGGAGAGGCGCTAACTCTCCCCTCTTACTCTCTCCCCCTCTACCCTCCCCCCCTCTTTACCTTCTCCCTCTCCCCCCCTTCTCTCCCCTTCATCCTCTCTCTCACCCTCTAACCCTCTCTCTCACCCGCGCCCCCCCCGTGCCCGCGCCCCCCCCCCGTGCCCGCGCCCCCCCCCCCGTGCCCGCGCCCCCCCCCCGTGCCCGCGCCCCCCCCCCGTGCCCGCGCCCCCCCCCGTGCCCGCGCCCCCCCCCGTGCCCGCGCCCCCCCCCCGTGCCCCGCGCCCCCCCCCCGTGCCCGCGCCCCCCCCGTGCCCGCGCCCCCCCCCCCGTGCCCGCGCCCCCGCCGTGCCCGTGCGCCCCCCATTGCCCCCCCTCGCCCGCGCCCCCCCTCGCCCGTGCGCCCCCCATTGCCCCCCCCGCGCCGTGCGCCCCCCTGGCCCCCCCCTCGCCCGTGCGCCCCCCATTGCCCCCCTCGCCCGCGCCCCCCCTCGCCCGTGCGCCCCCCATTGCCCCCCCCTCGCCCGTGCGCCCCCATTGCCCCCCCTCGCCGTGCGCCCCCATTGCCCCCCGCGCCTGCGCCCCCCCTCGCCCGCGCGCCCCCCATTGCCCCCCCTCGCCCGCGCCCCCCCTCGCCCGTGCGCCCCCCATTGCCCCCCCCTCGCCCGTGCGCCCCCCATTGCCCCCCCTCGCCCGTGCGCCCCCCATTGCCCCCCGCGCCTGCGCCCCCCCTCGCCCGTGCGCCCCCATTGCCCCCCCGCGCCTGCGCCCCCCTCGCCCGGCGCCCCCCATTGCCCCCCCTCGCCCGCGCCCCCCCATGCCCGCGCCCCCCTCGCCCGCGCCCCCCCATTGCCCCCCCTCACCGCCCCCGCGCCCGCCCACCCCCCTCACCCACGCACCGCCCCTCACCTGAACCTCTCCCATCCCTCCCTCCCCCCTCCAACCCCCTCTTCCACACACACACCCCTCTCGCTCCCCCCCCCCCCCCCCGCCTTGACACATTAAGTGGAAGGTGAAGGGGGCCACTGAGTTGTCTTATGAATATCTATGAGGAATGATACCGTTTCAGCATCTGCAGTATTTTGCCTTTTGTCTTTGAGGAATGATCTTATTTCATTTCTCTGTTCCAAGATACAGATGGTCTTTTGACAGTTATTTTCTAACATGAGGAAAATCCAAATGTTGCATGGCATTAACAATCTTTTTTTTTTGGTCTATCACACAGAAATGTCGAAGAAAGTTGTCAGGAAGCAAGAACTGGCTTCAGAGAGAGCGAGCTCTAACCCCTGCAAAAGAGTCAAACTGGACTCAGATTTAACCAGCACATTCAACTTCCAAAGTCCAGCCAGCTTGTTTGACAGTCTGGTGTCGCCTATTGGAAGTAAGGAATTCTTAAGTGAATATTGGGAGCAGAAGCCTTTGCTGATCCAGAGGGATGACCCTTCATTAGCGGTGTACTACAAGTCATTGTTTAAGTTTGATGACTTAAAGGAAATCTGCAATGATGATGTATTCTACGGTACAGACATCAACTGTTGCCGAAGTATAAATGGAAAGAAGAAGATTTTAAACAAAGATGGAAAAATTAACTACACTCAGTTAAAGAAAGACTTCGAACAGAAGAAGGCTACAATACAATTTCACCAGCCGCAGAGGTTTAAGGTATCTTTTGAGTTCTGTTTTTCTTCACATGTTGTGGTTTGTGGTTATAATTTATCTTTTGGGGTTTCTTACTACTGCAAATACGTATCCCCTTGGCTGCTGAGACTACACCAACGCCTTGCTTGCCCAATTCTCCAGCTCTTTCCTACACAGGCTGTAGACTATCCATAACCCTTCAGCTCATGCCCTCTCCTTCACCGCAGTCTGTGAGTTTATCATGCTATCCTCGCTCAGCTCCACTGGCTCTCCATCCCCGAACAGATCTTTCAAGATCCTTGATCTTGTGTTCAAATCGCTTCATGGTCTTGCCCGTTCCAACCTCTGCTACTCCTTCAAGGAAACCAACCCAGTCACTCCCTTTGCTCAGCAAACACTTACCTGCTTCATGTCTTCCACCGGATTCATCCCAACAGGGCCAGACTTTCAGCCATTCTGCCCCTCTTTCTGGAACTCCATCCTGAATTCCTCTTTCTCCCTCCTTTCATTCAAGGGTCTCAAGACCCTACCTCTTTGACCGTGTTTTGGTCATCTTAACTTTTTCTATCCCCCTCAGCTTTGCCCCCCCCCCCCAGCTTGAGTGTCCAATCAGCAGTGTCAAGCGCTTTGAAGTGGCCTCCTGATGTGAAAGGCACCGTACAATACAAAATTACATTTGTATAGCATCTTTCATGTCGATAGGACATCCCAAGGCGCTGAGATAAATGTACTCACAGAAGAACAAACAACCTTTTTCTTTTATATCTTCAGGATGTATTGTGGAAGATCCAGGAAATGCTGGAATGTTTCTTTGGCTCCTTGGTTGGATCCAATGTTTACATCACTCCTCAGGGCTCCCAGGGGCTACCACCACATTACGATGATGTTGAGGTATTGATAAAGAGAATCCATTCACCCAAACATCACCCTTTCAGTACGCATGCAATAGACTGAATGGAGATAAAGACTTAACTTTCTGATTAAAATTAGCTGAAAAAGATTGTGTATTTACATAATAATAATCTTTGCATTTGATATAGTTCTTTTCACGTCATCTAGACGTCTCAAAGCACTTCACAGAATATACCGTAAAGTGAATTGACTGTATATTTGTGGGCGAAACGCGGCAGCCAATTGCGCACATCAGTGTCCCACGAACAGTCGTGGATTGAAAATGACCAATTTATTATTGTTTTTGTTTTGGAGGGATTATTATTAGGTGTGTGGAGCAAGGAAACTTGTCCAAGGTTTCGTCCTGCCTGGAATTGAACCCAGTGTCTCGCTTGCAAGGCAAGTGCTCTAACCACTGAGCTACAGGACTCCATAAAATTATATATAACATTATACCACTGGAACAGGACATTTGTCCTAACTAATCTGGTGTGGTGTTTATACTGCACATGAGCCTTCACCCTTACTAATCCATTCTTCTATATCTTTCTGTTACCTTCACCTTCATGTGTGCATCAAGCTACAGTTTAAATATGTCCATGCTTTCTGTTTGAACCACAGCAGTGAGTTCCACAATGTCACCATCCTCTTTAAACTTTGCTCCTGGCTATTATATTTATGCCCCCACATTTTGAACTTGCTAACAAGTGCAAATAACACATTACAAAATCTTTCATAGTTTTAAACAGGCTCATCAAGTCACCTCTCAATCGTCTCCTCTCCAGAGAGAAAGGCTGTCCAATCTTTGTTGATAGCTGTGTCCATTTATCCCTAGTAGTGTGTGAGAAAATAACCACTTTATTGTATAGGGCTTAAGAAAAAAAAATGTCACTCAATCCATGACTGTTTGTGGGACACTGCTGTGCACAATTGGCTGCCTCATTTCACCCACAAATATACAATCAATTCAGTTTACAATATATTCTGTGAAGCGCTTTGAGATGCCTCGAAGACATGAAAAGCGCTATATCAAATGCAAGGATTATTTATTATTAGGGCTGGATTTTTATGAGTACCTTGTGCATGGGAAGGAATTTAATACTGTATGTACTCCTGTTTCTTATATTGTATAAAATGGAAATTTTATCATCTAGGGAATGTGATTTTTGCTCCACATGGCTCCCTGGCTCCCGACCCTCTGGCTTGGCATCAGGCTCTGCCACTGTCTTGAGACGTTACCCTGCTTGAGGGGCGCTATATAAATGCAAGTTGTTGTTGATTTGAAAGAAAAAGGCAACGTCCAATCATTGTCTTAATGTAAAGAGCATATTGCTTATTTTTTAATGTTTCTTTTTCTATGCTCTCTCCTCCCCTGAACACATAGATTTCACTAGTATACCGTTTCATAGACACAGGCTACATAATAATAATAATCCTTAGACTTGGTACCTTACCTAAATTCTACTGTGTGTGTGAGCCTGGAGCCCTCTATGGGAGGCAGCCCAGCCATGCTCAATCTTATCCTTGAACGATGACCACATGGATATTTTTCAGGATGGTCAGTAGGTAACAGTCAGGAGCAGGATTCCTGCCTGATTAATTCCAGAGTCCAAGGGCACTAAAGACAATTGTAGCAGCTCTTCTGCTTTCCAGGTGAAATCAGTGAACTCAGTAAAGGCCAGGAATTTAATCTGGAATGGGTCATTTACTGTAATTCTCTCTGTTTCACTCTTAGCAATTAACCAATTGATTTGTTGGGTGACTTCATGTAATGTTTTGCTTTTTAAGTGGAGTTTTTTATGCTTCAGCGGATCATTCATTAGCACAACTTTTGTTTACAACATTGCTTTCAACTCCTGAAAAGTTTGTTTTTTCCATGTTGCAATGTGAGAGAGTAAAGTATGTTTTTCTCTCACTTATTTTAGAATTAAGAAATTATATGCACATCTATGATAATAATTCTATTTTGTGGCAGGAAAGGGGGATTTGCAGAGAGTGAAGCTAGTATTTGACAAAATGTTGTATTTTTTAAAAATCTACACTTAATATGTTGCTGATGATGATTATTAAGTCAATTAATTCAAACAAGTATTGTTAATTCTATAAGTTTAAATGTGTTGCCAGGTGTTTATCTTGCAGCTGGAGGGAGAGAAGCACTGGCGACTCTACAAACCCACCAATCCTTTAGCTCGTGAGTACAGTGTAGAGCTTGAAGAGCGGATAGGAAGTCCAACCCATGAATTCACATTAAAGGTAAAGAATTTGAAAGAAAATTCAAAAAGAAATAACACCTTTTAACAATGAATTATTTTAATAAGTAGAATACTGTATAGGGGAAAATATGAGAACTTGTTCTTAAATATAATATTTAATTATTTAATGCAGTGAAATATTGCTGAAACTTTTGTTCTGCTTGCTTTCTAGTCAGGCGATCTATTATACTTTCCGAGAGGAACAATCCACCAGGCAGATACCCCAGCAGGAGGCTCCCATTCCACCCATATTACCATTAGCACCTACCAGAACAAGTGAGAGCATTTTATTGTGCCTATACTTTGTAGGGAAATCAATAAACAATGCCCCAACATATTTTTTTGCTATAGGCATTCATATTCTATAGCTGAATAAAAATTTACTCATTAATTATAGTTGTCTAATTATGAAGATAACACTTGAACAATGTGGCCAGATGCATGTGATGAATGGCCTTTTGTGTTTCTGGGTATGATTATTGTATTCTGGGTATGATTAGATATATTCTCAATGGGACATGTTTATCCAATAATGTGTTGCTGTGACAATAGTTTTCTCTTAAAACACATGATTTTTTCCAAAACACTTAAGTTTTTTTTACACACCAAAGTAAGAAGTAAAGTAGCATCTTGGAGTGAGTGTTAGCTTCTCTCCATCCCATTGAATTCCTGATCTTCATTGGCTCTCTTTGGGAAATGCTAAGAATAACCAAATACTTCTAGGTGGAGGCAGAGGGAAAGAGCAGAAGATCAGAGTGAGTTGTTCTTAGGGTTCACTAATAGGCCATGTGGCTTAAAATCAGTCCGGCTTTCCTCACAGACTTTATGGTGATTAATATTTGATAGGTTTTATTTTTTATTTGACACTATAAAATACACTTATTTCTTGCTATGCACACATACATTATAAGAAATTTAATAAGAATAAAATTGAAAGAGCTCAAGAAGTATGAAATGAGAAAATATAGCAAGCCCAATCCTAACAAACGATGAACAGTTTGTATTGTCAGATTCTGCTTAAGGTATATTCTTGGAAAGATAAGCACAGGTAAATTTTGAAAAGATAGAGCTCTGTGATCTGAGTAAAATTTGTAACATATTCTAACTTCCGTGAAGTGCACCAGTATGTTATAGCTCTATAAGCGATGCTGGACATCCAGTGATCGCTAAGCGATTTTGCCAATTGACTGATGATCTCAAGGCATGTTGCGATGTGGTGCCGTCCCAAGAGGAGCTTGAGATTGCCTGAACTGATTTTATGGAAGATCTAGTGCCAGGAAATAGAGGAGATTATAGATTGAGATCTAGGTTCGAACCCAGGTTCCAGAGGTAAGTGGCCAGAGCTAACCAATGCAGTATCCAGTCTCCCATCAATCCCTTCCTTCATTAATTGATTCTCGTGTTAGTCTGTTCCACGGTAGAACTATTCTGTCAATGCAATTTTTATATTCTGGTCTCACTGGACCAATTTTATTGCTTGAAGTTCAGAAATGATGGTTTTCAGCATTTAAATCATCTGGAACAATCTTTCCTTCAATAGAAAAAACACAGTTTTGCTAGTTTTTGGAGAGTTAAATCCTGGAATTGCCAGTATTGCATTCACAAATAGATGAATGGCCATAATTTTATTTCTAATGTATTACCAATGAGTGTACAAACATGAATAGTCTATTTGACATTTAATGAAATGTTCTTGTTACAATATAACCCTGACTAAATATTTTCAGTGAATTGTTGATAGGACCACGAGCTTATGGTGCACATATTTCATATGGTATTATTCATATTTATCTTTATTTTCGTCAGAAATGGTTTTATAAAGCTAAATGTCAGTAACAACATAAACATTAAAGTTGGTGTAGGAAATGCGAAAGAGCCAGTGGTAGGTTACTGTAGAACGTTTAAGAAACCAAAAAGAGCCTATCCAGTCCAAGGAAATGTACTGGAAGTAATTGAGAGGCATTTCCACTGGGATCAAAGGAAGTTGGAAAATGTTTGTAAAATCTTGTTTCTCTGGATCTAAAAATGTTTTTGGTATTGCAAATATTGGATTTTAACTGTGACAGACCAAAATGCTTTTTAAGAATGTTATTTTCTAAAAAAAACTTCTTTCCATTGAAGCACCTGGGGAGATTACTTATTGGATGTGATTCCTTGGCTTGTATATGATACAATGAAGGAAGATATTGAACTGTCCAGAGGGCTACCTTGGCAGCATCTGATGGTAAGGACATTGTTTTATGAGCTAATTCATGTTTCTTCCTCTTTAGCATTGTTGGAAAAAAATGGTAGGCTTTGTATTCCCATATATTGTATTCTCCATAAGCAAGTGCTAGAATTTCACAAGAAAAGTTTACAAATTAATTTATTATCCCAAATGAGCTTTAAGGAGGTTACACACCAACATTTTCTGTAGAATTTTTAAACATTAAATCAGGACTTCTTACAAACTTTACGCTTTAGAGCACAATAAGATGTCTATTTTATTTTTGATCAGCTGGATGCCTTGACACATGCAGAAAACCATCACCATGCGTAAGAGTGTCCAAACCCCTTCCCCCTCTTCCCAGAACCGCGATAGGGTCTTCCCGCACCTCTGTCCTCAACAACAACAAAATTACATTTGTATAACGCTTTTCATGTCGGGAGGAAGTCCCAAGGCGCTGGACAGACAGAGTCATGGAGCTGAGCTGAGGGTCGGGGTGATGAAGTGGGGAGGGCAGGAGGGGAAGCAGGGAGATCAAAAGCACGGTCAAAGAGTAGGGTCTTAAGGTGGGTCTTGAAGGTGGCGAGGGAGGGGGAGGGACGGAGGGATTGTGGGATGAAGTTCCAGAGGGTGGGTGCAGAGCGGTGGAACGCCCGCCCGCTGATAGTGGGGCCAGCAAGGCGGGAGATGTGGAGCAGGCCGGAGCCCGCTGAGCGGAGGGAGCGAATAAGGTGGTAGGGGATTAGGAGGTCGGAGAGGTAGGTGGAAGCAAGACGGTGGAGGGCTTTGAAGGTGAGGACCAAGATCTTGAACTGTATCCTCTGTTTGATGGGAAGCCAGTGGAGTTGGACAAGGATGGGGGATGGGGGTGATAGGGTCATGGAGCCTAGTGAGGGAGAGGACACGGGCTGCAGAGTTCTGGATGATCTGCAGCCTGTGGAGGGAAGTGTTGGGGAGGCCGACAAGTAGTGAGTTTGCATAGTCGAGCCTCGATGTAATGATGTAATATCACCCCTTCACCCTCTTCCCAGAACCGTGATAGAGTCCCCTAGTCCTCACTTTCCACCCCACCAGCCTCAACATACAAAAAATAATTCTCCGCCACTTCCGACACCTCCAATGTGATCCAACCACTAAGCATATCTTTCCCTCCCCTCCCCTCTCAGCATTCCGAAGGGACCGTTCTCTCCATGACTCCTTGGTTCATTCCTCCATCACCGCCAACAGTTCTTCCCCTCCCCCGGCACCTTCCCACGCCAGTGCAGGAGATGTAATTCCTGCCCTTTCACCTCCTCCCATACCACTGTCCAGGGCCCCAAACACAGATTTCAAGTGAGACAGCGATTTACGTGTACTACAACCAATGTAGTTTATTGCATTCGCTACTCACGATGTGGTCTCTACATTGGGGAGACAAAACAGATTGGATGACCGATTTGCTGAACACCTCCGTTCTGTCCGCAAGTACAACCCTGAACTTCCGGTTTCTTGCCACTTCAACTCTCCCTCCCACTCGCACTCTGAACTCTCCATCCACGGTCTCCTACGTTGTTCCAATGAACCACAGCGCAAGCTCGACGAACAGCACCTCATTTATCTGCTAGGGTCCTTACAGCCCTCTGGCCTCTATATTGATTTCAACAATTTCAGACCATAACAGCTCACCTTCCACTCCTGCTCTTCTGTGACAATTACCACATCATCTTGGTCCCAGACACACCTTTTCTCTTTCTGGTCTACCTATTTTATTGCAATTTTTCACCCCTTTGTTTTGCATTATTAACACCTCTATTCCCCTGCTTTGTTGCAAGCCCCCTCCCCCCCTTAACATTGTAGTGTTTCTAATTATGAGATTAAGAAATGAATGTTGCTTTTTTCAATGTTTTGTAGCATATGGAAATGCCGATCGATTCAACAAGGAAACTGAGTGGATTCTTGCGGAAGCTGGCAGACCAGATAGAGAATGGAAAGGAAATGAGATCTTCTGAAATGAAAAAAGATTTTGTTGTAAACAGATTGCCTCCATACCTGTGCAACACATCGGATTCAGCACCAGGTAAATTTATGCTCTTCTACGAATGTTGATGCTTTTTCTGAAAACAGCAAAGATCACTCGCTGTTTGTCTAAAAATGGGTGCAATAATCAAGCTCATTTTATCAGAGAAGATTGTTACATTCTGAAGTTTCTTTAATCCGTTACTAGAATGATCTCAACTCTGTTGTTATGGTTTAAAATGAATATAGAGTCTATTGGAACATATTTGTTTGTACTGAAACAAATAATAATAATTGATACCGCACTTTATCATGTCATCGAGACACCTCAAAGTGCTTCACAGGATATACTGTAAAGTGGAGTGATTGTGTATTTTGTGGGCGAAACATAGCAGCCAGTTTGCATACAGCAATTTCCCACAAATGGCCATGGAGTGATTGACCAATTTTATTTGGGGGATTGTTGACCAGGACACCAGGAGCAACTCCCTTCTCTTTTTGAATAGTGCTGTGCTGTGGTATGCTGTGGGAAAACATTTTGTTGTTGTTATTCTGGTTTCATGTTTTCCCACAGCACACCAATTAGCACCTTTCATGTCGGGAGGATCTCCAAAGGCGCTGGACAGACAGAGTTTCAGACGCAAACTGGGAGTCGGGATCGGGGAGAGGTGGAGGGCAAGGGGGAAAGCAGGGAGATCAAAAAGCATGGTCGAAGAGGAGGGTCTTGAGATGGGTCGTGAAGGAGGCAAGGGAGGGGGTGAGGCGGGGGGACTGCGGGATGGAGTTCCAGAGGGTGGGGGCAGAGTGGCGGAAGGCCCACCTGCCAATAGTGGGGCGAGCGAGGTGGGGGACGTGAAGCAGGCTGGAGAGGAGGGAGCGAGCAGGATGGTAGGGGGTTAGGAGGTTGCAGAGGAGCAAGATCATGGAGGGCTTTGAAGGTGAGGACCACGACCTTGGAACTATATCCTCTGTGTGATGGGAAGCCAGTGGAGTCGGGTGAGAATGGGGGTGATATGATCACGGAGCCTGGTGTGGGAGAGGACATGGGCTGCAGAGTTCTGGATGATCTGCAGCCTATGGAGGGAGGTTGGGGAGGCCGATAAGCAATGAGTTTGCATAGTCAAGCCTCGATGTAATGAAAGCGCGTATGAGGGGTTCGGTGGCCTGCAGGCTGAGATAGTGGTGGAGCCGGGTGATGTTGCGGAGGTGGGGGAAGGCAGAGCGGGTCATAGCACAGATGTGGGGTAGAAAAGATAGTTGAGGGTCAAACAAGACCCCAAGGATCTGGACTGGCTTAGTGAGGTGGAGTGTGCAACCATGGATGGTGATGCTGTCAGTGCCTGAGGTGTGGAGGCGCTGACGGGAGCCAATCAGCAGAGCCTCAGTCTTGTTGACGTTCAACTGTAGAAAGTTTGCTCTCATCCAGGACTTAATGTCTGACAGACATTCTGTCAGCACAGCAGTGGTCCTGGAGTCGAGGTTGGAGGCAGAGAGGTACAGTTGGGTGTCACCCGCATACATGTGGAAGTTGACCCCATGTCTGCGGATGATGTCACCAAGAGGAAGCATATAGATGTTGAAGATTAGGCAAGGACAGAGCCCTGAGAAGCGCTGCACGAGCTGGTGCGGGGGCTAGAGGAGAAACCGTTTCTAGAGATGAAGTGGAGGCGGTTTGAGAGGTACGATCTGAATCAGTCAAGGACAGAGCCATGAAGGTTAGCCGTGTGGTTGTTTTCAATACAAAACAACAACAAACAAATTGCACTTATTATAGCGCCTGTCAGGAGGATATGTATTTATTGTCAAAACTATAAAGGACATTTAATATTCAAATAATTAAATAACATTTTGTGCTACAAATAAAATCTAAGGAGGCAAAATATTGAATATGTGACCATATTTTTTTCTTCAAGTGATTCAGTGTTCTTGGTTGTGTAGTCAGGTCACTCATTGAATATTTTATGTGTTGCATTATTTACTGGCTATGCACTTTAACTGTTTTTATTTTTTGCTGTAGATGGAAAATTGCCGAAGTTAGGTGATCAGATTAAACTTCGTTTCAAAGACCATATCATGATTTTGGTGGAGCATGATCAAGAAAGGACGGTCAGTATAGAAAAACTGAGAAACTTAACCCGAGATACCCAACTTATCACAAATTCCATTCAATATCCCATTATCAAAATCACTACAATTGGAATCTGACATTCCTCAATATCACCTCCCTAAATATTTAAAGAATAACCTATTTAGATTTACTTGGACATTCAAAAGTGATTTCAATGTTTCAAGTTGAAGTGATGTAAAGTGGAATCCGCTTTTGCTGGATGCCGGTTAACCCTGAACATCGGATAAATCAAACAAAACCCCCGGTCCCGGATCATTTGGATTTGTATCTGTTTTAAATAAGGTGGTTGATTCGGACAAAAATCCGGTTATTCCGGGTAAAATGATTGTACTCACTTGGACTTTCTGTGTGTCCATTCAGCTACAAAGGGCTCCCCAATGTAGATGGGAGGGGGAGGAGTCTAAGGTTGCCAGAGTGCTATCAAATGAACCAAGCTTTCTTCTCATTCTTTGAATGAATTTTACAACTCCCACAACTAAAAATGCATATAAAAAAGGCATCATTTTGAAACACATCGTGTGCTGAAGGTGGATAGTCACTTAGAGCATGTGATTAAGCAGTTATATTTCCTGATTCATGTCCAATGAGTTGTGTGTCACGTTTTTGGTTGGCACAAAATGTTTTTTGAATGATTTGTTAATTGACAGCAGCTAAATACAGCACCTGTTATTTATTTTCTATAATTCTGTATTTTCACAGGATGAATCTCGAGAAATGATGGTGTATCTATATCATTCACTGAGGAATAGCAGGGAAAACCACATGATGGGGGCTGAGGACAATGAAGAAGAAGGAAGAAGTTTTCAGGTTCAAAACATTTTCAAATTGACTTTCAGAAGCTATTTATGACAGGACGTGCTAGAAACTAAGTAGAGCATTTTTTTTGTTATTTGAATTTTTGGACATCAGATAAGGAGAGAGTCAGCTTTTTTACTCCATATGCAAGCTGAGATTTGATGTCTCAGCTCACATTTAAAGAACCATCAATACGGGGTATTGTCCATGGTATTGTCTTCAAGTAGGTCAGTTTCTGAAAATTATTGATGTGCTGATTTCTGCCATTAGGTGGTGCAAGTGAGCTTTGTTTGGTTGATGTGCTATAAAGCATTTAGGAAAATATAAATGACCACTGTCCATTATTAATTGAAAGGCTTGTGATATACACACTTCATAGGAAAACAGTGTGCATCTAGCCTTGAGAAACTGAAGGCAGGAAATTTGTATATATCTTTTTAAGTTTTTATTTCCTGTTTCAGATCTACCTGTGCCATGTAATATTCTCTGTTTGAAAGAGTGATAGGTAATGTGCTCTAATCTTTTATCGAAATCAAAATTACAAACTGGGAAATGAAGGTTTGGAATGAAATACAATATATGAATGAAAAAAGCATATAAAGAATGAGGAAGATCATATTTAGTTGCAGGTGATCTCAAAAAAGATAAAATAATTCTTTATGTAAATTTCGACTACACTTCCTCCATTAGCCAGTAGCTATTTAGGGCATAGATTTTTCTTTGATTGTTTGGCTGTGATCAATCAGTCAGAGGTGGAACTCTTAACATGAATGCTTCATTATGTGTCCATCGAGGATGTGATATGCTCAAATGAGGGCAAACATTCAAATCAGTGCTGATGATGGAGTTTAAAGTGTAACTCCTCATGGAAGTCTTCTACTGAACACCTGTGGTTTCTTTTCTCAGTAAATCTTTTTTTTAAAAAAGAGGAAGAAAGCTTAAGGGGAATACCCTCAGCATAAAACACTCCCTACATGTGGGTTTTAAAAAAAAACAGTAGTTTTGATGGAATTTCTCTATATTAGATCTCTGAGCATGCAAAACCATTTGAGTGCTTGAAATTCCTCATAGTTTTACACTTTAAAACATGTCTTGAAATTTAATATTGTGCACAGTTTTTTTTGGGGGGTGATGTTTTCTGTCCACCTGATATCATCTGGTAAACAATGCAATCATATTGGATCCCCTAACTCATGTGCAGAACCGTTAGATATTTATTTCCATGATCTTGGCTATGAAACGAATGAGTTATCTGCAGAGAGCAGCAATCTCAGGTCATAAAAACAGCATTAATGGGTCAACTGCAGGTTTGCAATGCTGTTATGCTGGCTAAAGCTGTGCCTTGGTTTGTGATGACAGCCCTACTGTTCAAAGCCAATCTACAATTTTGAAAAGTATCTTACTTTGGGTTTCTACAGCTGCCCCATATTTGCTACTGTTTGCTTCCTCTGTTTACACTGTCAGCCAAGCCTGCACCAGCTAATTAGTCTGGTCACTGATGGCATGCTGCATGACATCTTTGCATTTATGCAAAGAGAAATCTTGTTGCAGCCTGCAATGAAATGAACCGGTAACAAGTTATTGGAAGCGGGAAGCATGATTGTGACATCTAGGCTGGAAAAGGACAGGCATTTTTAAACTCTTTAAGAGCCATAGGTAGAGACTTTACTTGGGTGGTGTTCTTGCAGCCACAAACATAGTATAAAATTAGCATTAATCAGGCAATGTTTCGAATTCACTGAACTGGCAAGAAATAAAGTGAGTGCAAAAATTGCCTTGACCCATTTGCGAAATTTGTTTCATCATTCACAAAACCATGTATTAATTTGATTACTGCATCTCAAAACACTTTAAATTTCATGCAATTCATGTAATTGTGTGATAATCACAGTACGGAAATAGAGTAGTACTTTCCACCTTTTATATTAATATAGGGCACTTTTAAAATGTGAAACGTTGGTATGTAGTGAAAAGGAGTTGCAAGATAATTCATATTTCTTCACTCCCTAGATTACAAAAAGTTATTGTGAGGTGATAATTGTGGAGTCCTGTAGCTCAGTGGTTAGAGCACTCGCTTTGCAAGTGAGAGACCTGAGTTCAATTCTAGGCAGGGCGAAACCTTGGGCAAGTTTCTTTACTCCACACGCCTAATAATAATCCCTCCAAAAACCAAAAACTATAATAAATTGGTCATTTTCAATCTACGACTGTTTATGGGACATTGCTGTGCGCATTGGCTGCCGCGTTCGCCCACAAATATACAGTCAATTCACTTTACAGTGTGTTCTGTGAAGCGCTTTGGGACGTCCTCCCGACGTGAAAAGTGCTATATCAAATGCAAGGATTATTATTATTATTATAATCTTCCCGGCAACATTTTAAAACGATGACCCAAGAAGAATTGATCTCCCACATCAAGTTATTCAGGAAAAATGTTGGTGTGTAGTTTATCAGGGAGCACTAGCATAAGTGTCAAGTTTGTTGACAGTACATGAAATCCATAGCTTGCATGGACTTCAGTAGTATCTTACTGACGCTATCTGTTCTTCCACTTCAGATGTAAATTCAGAATGAATCTATCTACGGAAATACTATTTCAGTGAGCGAATAATAAACTTGTGGAACAGACTCCCTGGAGAGATGGTTGAAGAAGGAAATATTGATTCCTTCAAACACAGATTAGTTTTCTTTTAGGAAATAACAATATGGGATATAGTACATAGGTAGTTCGGAACATATGTGCATGTGACCACCGGGAAGGTGGAAGGCGATCTAGATGGACCTTGGACTTTTTTCGTCTAGCATTTCTTGTATGTTCTTACAGCTGGTACAGAGCAAAGACTGGATGCGAATACTGTAACCCTGCCATGGTTTTCTAGATTTCAACCTAACAGACTAATGTGATTAAGAGAGAGTCTCACATTTTCTATCGTCAGGTCTGTTGTGAATTGTCTATAATTGTAAACTTAATGCCTTCTGCTTTATTTGTAACCTTTAGACTAGCTTGTTATCTGGTTGACGTTGCATCTTCTGGTGGTCACGCCAGAGCGAATAATAAGTGAAACTTCAACCATTGTTGGCTTTGGTCTCTTTTCACTAGACAACAGCATAATTTGAATGTTTGTCCCATTCTAAGACGAATAGCAGCTTCCTGCAGCTAAAAATTGAAAGTATTTGAGGCTATTTTTGTTGGAGAGGAGCTAGAACAGCATCATTGAGTTTAATATTATTATAATAATGGGGGCTGGATCTTTGGAGTAGTATAGGAGCTGATCTAAAGCTTCATAATTGCAGGAAAATTGTAATACGACTATCAAGCAGTACTGAGCAGTACCGAGGCAAATGTGTTCTGTGGACAATTAGAAATTGAAAACCATGAGGGAATTGCTTCAACACATACATTAATTTTTTTTCTTGGCTTGACTTGTGCATGCCGTATACATTTTAAAAAAAATCTCTTAAGTCTCCGTATAGTAATTTAAGTGCAGTGACTTTTTTTACGAAGGCAAACTGGTAGCCAATTTGAAAACAGCAAAATTTTGCAAACACCCATGAAGTGATTGATCAGTTAATCGAGGATTCGTGGCCTGGATACCAGGAAAAATTCCTTTCTCTTTTTGAATAGTACTGTAGAATCTTTAATGTCAATCTGTTTGCAGGCAGTCAGGCGTCAGTTTAAGTTTATCCAATCCAAAGGATGGAATTTCCAACCATGCATTGGAATGTCAGCCTAGACTGCAACTCAGAAGCTGGCGTGCTACCAACTGAGTCAAATAGACACCTGGATCTGAAGCAAGGAGAATATAAGCATGACTATATTTGTTCTAATTATATTGCAGCACAGTTTATTCAGCAAGGTAAGGTTTGATAGTTTTGCTTCCTGATATGATACAGATATGATGCTTGAGGGAAGATCTATGGACCAACTGGATAAGTTAGGGTTCAGCCTTGATAAGAGATGTCTGAAGCAGGACTTTAGAGATTCTAAATAGGATTGAGAAAGTGGCTATCTTTGACAGTGTTGTGCTCTAATGTGGGCTCAATATTCTTTCAGAGAAACAAGAATATGCAACCATTGTACTAGAGAAACCTTAAATGTAACTGTAATTAAATGTCTCTAGGTATCTAAAAACAAAAACAAATTCTGATAAAGTGGTAGACATATGTACAGATATCTTATTAAAAGCCTGGAGCAGAGTTGGAGACAGACTCATAGTTATTTAATTTAGTAGAAATCATTCAACATTAATCTTTCTTCCAATTTTGATCCCTACACAGGCTCGTGGCTTAAGATTTCCTTTGTCTCAGTTGGAAGCGCTGAAACAGCTATGGATGGGTGGCACAATTCCTGTAAAAGACCTCAAAGTGGACTCGGATAAAGCTAAAGAAAGCCTGGCCCTGTCCTTGTGGACGGAGAACTTAATTGAAACAAGCTAAATGTAACTGTCATGGTTCCTTTGGCCTATTGAAGTTTGAGTGCCTTTTATTATTCTATATAATAAAAACATAAAACTGAAAATGTCAATAGAGCGCTTGTCTCATTACAAAGATGCACAGTATTTCTAAAAACAAATCAAAGAATAAACTGAATACATAGACTTTATATTTTTTATTTTAGTTAATACATAGATTCAGATTTTTACATAGTCCAGAATGCAAAACGCACAGCAAAAAGTATGTGTTCCTACAGAGATGCTGTCCATTGATATGGGATCAGTCCAGTTCATAAAAAAACACTCATTTTTAATGTAAAGTGAATTTTGTTTACATTCTACAAATATTTACTGCATTGTTTTACTGAGCAGACTCATTAGCTCAGCTGAATATGTAGCAGTGTCTAACTCAATAATGAAACCAGAAGTACATTTTACTGACTCAGGAACTTCGCTCCATTGCAATCTACTTTCAGAGCAGAGTTCTGCGAATGGGCATGTTGTACTTCTGGCTACTCAGTTTCCTTAAAATAAAAACAATTTTGATGCAACAAAATGAACAAATTCAGAAATGAGTATTTTGTATTGGAATTATTACATTCACAGCTTGTTTTACCACATCTTGAAATGGAACCTATTTACAAACAGAACCATGTTTCACTAATCATGATTCATCTTAATTAGTTTGTAAGTTGAAAGAGAAGTTTTTTTTAAAAAAAATTATAGATTTCATGGCAAAAACAGCAAACATCTTCTAAATAGTTACATTGCATAGTTGAAATTGTGGCTGATTTGTAAAGTGCAATATTTTACATATGGTGTAAATTGTGTGGTGCTCATTCTGGTGATGAGCTGGACATATTTGCAACACACTTGTCTTCTGTAAAGTAATATTTCAGTTCCACCTGACCTTTGTGTTTCCCAGCTCACAATAATTCAATGTCCCAGAACTGAGTTTGCTGATCTGCTTGTGGATTGTTTAATATTAGGTGGGACTTGTCATAGTAGTCACCGCCTGAAATTTGAAAATACAAATTTATAAAAAGTTCAATAATTTTTTGGATTCAACGACAACTGGGGTGAAAATTCATGCTTTTTAAAATATACTGTATATTCAAGACTACTATTAACAACAACAAAATTACATTTGTACAGCACTTCGGGAGGACGTCCCAAGGCGCTGGACAATCAGTGTTTCGGACCCGAGCTGGTGGTTGGGTTTGGGGAGGGTGAAGGGCGGGTGTGGGGGGGAAGGATGGTGACCAAAGGCGCGGTCGAAGAGGAGAGTCTTGCAGGAGGCAAAGGAGGCAAAGTGGAGGGACTGAGATGGAGTTCCAGAGGGTGGGGTTATAATAGCAGAAGGACTGCCCACTAATGGTGGGGCAGGCGAGGCGGGGGACATGAAGCAGGCCGGAGCCTGCTGAGTGGAGGGAGCGGGCAGGTTGGAAGGCAGTTAGAAGGTTGCAGAGGTAGTGGGAACAAGGCTATGGAGGGTTTTGAAGGCGAGGACCAGGATCTTTTGTATGAAAAGCAATATCAATTAAGTACAGTTAGGTTCTCTCAGAAACACTCGGGTGACTAGTGTTCCCATCGAATAGCTGTAACGCTTATTCCTCTGAAGCCTTGGCAATCCTGCCAATGGCCTTTTTTTGTCAAGAGTGCAATTGCCCCACTGGAGGGAGGACATACAAGGTAATCATTAGGGCAGTTAACACAAAACATCAGAAGTAGTCTTGTACGATCACTGCATGGAAATGCAGAGTTTGGAGTTAGTTTTCACCTTTTCTGAGGTATATTTGAAGCAATATGTATCTAAGCTGTAAAATGGAAATTGGCACACTAAAGCTAAGATAAACAGATAAAGAATTTTAATGTAAAAAGCAAGAGTACCAAAAATCTAAAATGGGAGTTGCAAAAGTGGTTAAAATAATAAAAACATAGCAGAGTCAGCCAAAGTGTTAAAAATATCTTATTTTAACAATTTCATTGCGTGCTAATAGATTAGTATTGGAGTAGTTTTATTATCTAAACATAAGGGTTGGTTTGAGGAATGAGTTTATTTATTTAACCAGGATTTCTGATAGCATATGTTTTCTGTTTCCAAATCATTGTGTTATGATGACAAAATTCTAGCATGTTTTTAAGATTTTACTATCATTTGCATAATGTAGGAAATGCAGTCTCCTGTTTCTTCAAATAAACAAAGTTCTTTACCTTTGATATCAAGTAACAGATTGCAATCCAAATGTGAAGAAATTGTGCCATTCCTGTTGATATTCCATTTCTGATGAATATTCCCATGCTCCGTCCAAAGAGCTACTTTTGTACCAGATGTTCTTTGTCCCCCAATAACATCCACACATGCGTTGTTCGACTTTGAAGGAGAATTTTTATTTGGTCAGTTTTTTTAGCATGTTGTTTCAAACTAAGTAACAATAAGCTGTAAATCATACTAGTTTTCATAAGAATTAGTGCAAACTCTGCAGTATAATATCAGTTTTAGGAGGAAAAGTACGTATTTCAGGAAACTAACATGAGACTACCTCACATCACTTACACTTCATATTTGCTGTGATATAACTCCAGTCTTAGCGCAAGAGATCCAGAGTGAACTTTGAAGTTGAAAAGTTCCAGGTCAGTCCAATAGAGATTTGTTTTTAAAACATAATACAAGTCAGTGGGATTTGAATACGGTTAGCATCATTAAATTAATTATCAGAATTCTGCACAAGCATTTATCTTACTGTTTATAAATATCCTATGTGGAAAGAGAAATGCCTTCAAATTATGAATCTGGTTAATCTGATTTCTGTGTTTTATTTCTGTGATAATCTAGATCAGGGATAACCAATGAGTGCATTCATGTGATTATTTTACGCATGTATAATGCAGCCTTGGCGATCCCTGATCTAGATACTTTGGTTACATATGAATTATTTATTCCTCTCAGCAATATAGAGTGATGTCCGCTCTATTGTAATAGGAAAAATACAGTTTTGAAATCCTCACATTGCTTTACTTTACATTTATGCCCCATGCATAGCTTTTTTATCTGTCATTTTTATCACCTACTTTCTATGGTTAAGACATGATTGGCTTCACTATCGTGATTATCATTCACAATAATCAAGAGATGAAAAAAATGGAGGGCCAATCGACAGGATCATTGAGACCCTTTAAAGCCTTTTTTTTGAAAAAAAGTACCCTCAGTTAGGGATTTTTTTAAAAAAGAAAATCATTATTGAGCTCATATCAAACAAACCAATGCAGTATAATAATTCTATTCAGATTGGATGTTATAGAATATAGCTACATTTTTAGCATATTTTGTTTTTAAAAATCCTGCAATATTTTATGTCTTGCTCTGTTAACTGAACAATGAACATATGTACTGGATAAAATATCCCAGTCAAAACAGCTGGGAATCATTCAGGGCAATAACACATTAGTATTACTGCACAAGAGACTGAATTCAGATTTAACCAGTCCAAGGATACTCTTATGCTATTTTAATATCCGAATAGTCAGTTTAATCAACTAAATGTTCAATTACCAAAGTACTGTAATTGCTTGGCACAGCCTTATGTTCTTTTTTTGCCCTTACCCTACATATAATATTCACTTAACCATCTATTGTCACTTTATCTCCAGTGATATGTCAGCAAGTTAGTTACCGGCCCTGGGATCCGTTACTGTGAAGCGCTTTGAGGTGCCGTCCGGCGTGGAAGGCGCTATATAAATCCAAGTTGTTGTTGTTACCTCGGTGGAGATTTTCTTTTGCTATCACCAAATATAAGGCTCTATATTCTTGTTTCTGTAGCAGTGAGTTTTATTTCTGAATTGGCTATTTGTGTTTCCCTAATGTACAATTCATCTCCGAGCATTATATAGTCAGAGAGTTGCAGACACAGTACCTTGGATTTAATAAGTCCACGACAGTAAAACCACATCTGTGTAGGTTTGCCATTGTACTGACAGACAGACAGCTTTGATGCCCTGGGGTCTTCTAAATTTTCATCAATTGTCATAAATGTCCCTTTGGCCCTGTTTTTTATTCTGAAGTAGACGCGGCACTGCAGGATCATGAACAGAAGGACACAGTGGTTAGCAATCACTTACAATCTTATGGCTCAGTAGACGGGTGAGAATCCTGTATGCTTATTAACAGTAAGTATTCCTATCAATCAAATAGAATTACAACTGCAATATTCAGCCAATGTATTGTGTGCTCCAAGAAAAAAATTTATAAGAGACAAATAAAATAAAAATGTAATTTTAAAACAACAATTCTCATTTTTACAACGCTTTTTAATGTTTGGAGGACATCTGAAGTGTTTCACCTAGTTTCCTGGGATTGACTTTACAGGACCTCAGAGAAGTAAAGGATAAACACTAAGGTGTAACAAATAATCCTCAGGGGGCAACTATTTTAACAAAGGTTCAAATTTTAAGTGAGAAATCTTATGAATTGTGGACGTAATATAATTTGTGATTATGTTAGTAGGTGATATTTTTAAGGCATCAGAGATCTGAATTCTTTTGATCTTAACCTGATGATCAAGAAAATTCTTGCAAATTCAGTCCTGCATTGGAAGACAATTATTTTGCAATTCATATCAAGGATATTAATAACCTCCTTCCGTGCTGAAAATGTCCATGTTTCTGTATCGAACAATGTGCGGAGATTCAATAGTCATCACATTTTAAAGTGGAGCTCCATTAGCTCTGGTATGTCAGTGAAAACCTCTTTCCTGATGACAACATTCCTTTTGTGTGAATAGTTTTCAACCCCATCAAAATGTTTATGACCAAACACTTGTTTTCAGTGCATTACTATAGGTTTTGAATAATTATAATAATAATCCATGCATTTGATACAGCGCCTTATCACATCATCAAAATGTTTTAAAGTGCTTCACAGGATTTATAGTAAAGTATTGTGCATTTTGTGGATGAAAAAGCTTCTGCCATACCTGATTGATTGGGCGAACTGAACCAACTGAAGTCCATCCACTAAATTTAATCCAATTGATATTTTCAGTGCTGTCCAAAAGTAACTGCCTTCCTCTAAAATTAGCATGTTCAAAGACTACCCACCTGGTTGGATATAGACAAGGTTAGCTTAGTGATACAAGATTTGAAACAAAGGCCAGATAACTGAGGCTGTTTTAATTGAAATAAAATAATTAAAAGAAATTGAAATAAAATAATTAAAGGAAATTGAAACAAAATAATTAAAATAAATTGATGAGCAACATGAGGAGGTCTTTAAAATGCTGAGATATGGGTCAGCCTTTTACAGTGTAGTGGATATAGTCTCAGTTTACAGATCACTTGTTCAAATCCTGGTCTGTGTTGGGTTTGCTGATCTCTGATGGGAGGCTAAAATGGCCTTCTTAAGGTTAGAGAGGGGACATTTCCTTATCCATGCATCCCAAAGCCCCAATGGCTCTGTATGTTTATTTCAGTGCTGTGTATGTATATTTAAAATAGGTTCATGCACATGTTAGAATGGGAATAGGTCTGATGTTTCAGTCACTTCTTTACTTTATATTGTGTCTTATTTTCACTGCTCTGTTTTAGCTCCTTACAAAAGCCATTGCTTCAAATTCTGCCAACAATGGTTTCTGTTCAGCTTCTATTTGGATTCTGTTTTATATCCTTCTTCATCTATCTTTATAAAGGATGACACCTTAATATTGTAACCCACTCATTATGATCTTAATATCCTACATTTGGATGGCAAATTGAGTATGATAATCAGAACTCCATTGTATTCATTATTCATTCCAGTGACAGCTTTGAGGCTTTCCATTTGTACATGACTGAAATAATGATAACCTGTCATAGATCAGTTTACAGAAAAAAAGTGATCATGCGAATGATGATTAGTAACTTAATTCATTTATATATATCAAAAGATGACAGCTTTTATTGCTTATGACCCATGAGTAATATATATTCATAATAGACATTTGTATCCTGTTTACATCAGTCCCATTTGGTTTGGCTGAGTTTAGGGTTTCCTCATTAGCTGATTCATGCAGAAAGATTCTCCTACACTGAAGAACTGCAGGTATGCAATCATTTATGTATACTTACATTCCACTGTTCACTCTTATTGACTTTGTGTATTGGTAATATTTATTGCTCTGTAAGACACTGATGGCCTCTGCACGAATTAGTTCTCGCCCTTGACAAGAATCCAGGGTAAAAAGGCTGATAGAAGGTTCAGAGAAATCCTAAAATAGTGAATAATAAAACTGCACTATTGGTTATGCCTCAAATACTGACAAGAAATAGCTGGGGGACATATAGTTCAAACTATGATAAAAAGCATGATTTACCTTCTAATAAACTGTGACAATAATTCTAAGTTGTAACTACACCCCAAATAATATAAGCTTAATGAGCCCGTGCATGAAGTTTGTTCTGCTTATACTGCATGGTTAGCAGAAAATTACCATGATCCTAGCAGTGATAGGTTTGGCTGGTGCAAATCAATTTGCTACATTTTTAGTGTTATTAAATAGGTGAATATTGGAGTTCTGCTATGCCCTGATCCACTCTGAGTAACAATAGAAATTATAACTCGCAATTACACTGGGCACTAGTAATGTGTGGAGGTCTGACAAAGAGAAAACTTTATTGAACTAATTTCAGGAACAACGATACCAGTTTTGGTCACTTCATTGTGCTCTGTTTGTGGGTACTTTAAAATCATTTACATTTGATGTATTTACATTTTATACATTGCTGTACTAATTCGCTTAAAAAATAGCATCCCAGAAAGTGGAGAGAATTATACGCAAGTAACAAAAATACTGCAAAATTACCTCCAGCAAATAAGAACAAATCTAAAGACTACCAACATATTTTGTTTTCGAATGTAATATATAATGAAAAAGTTCTGAAAAGTTCTATCAATAACCTTGAATTGTAGGTCATTCCTATTCTATTACCAACATTTGTCCCTGAGCAGAATAGATACTCATTTGATACACTGCAGTTATAAGACGTAAACATCATGTTGTCATGGTTGATGAAATACTTCTGAACTAATTAAGAACTTCTTACCATTTTTAGCCTTTAGACAGATTTACCAAGGCATGGAGTATAATATTAGTTTACCTTAAGGAGCAGCTTTAAATAATATTTTTTCATGATTTCCATTTTCTTGAAGTAAGATATTTTATCCAGCATTAATCTGTTGAATGCAAACTACTGTTTAGTTTTCCTAATTTGCTTTTCCCATGTTACCCTGAGGCTGTGAGTACTGCTCACAGAATCATTCCAGAAACATGGAGCGTGTAGGTTTACACGTGTCAAAAAAAATTGTTTGGAATAATTTTATTGGAATAATTGTGTATGGAATAATTTTATTCATTTATTCACTAGATGGCGCCTCACATCTACAGAAAGAAAATATATTTGAATTCTCATTCTTGCACCTTTCCTGCAGGCTGAACTACAGAACAATACTACTATAGGAAAAATAATAAATATTACTATAGTAAGTGATAGAGTCCAAAGTGAAATCCGGTTCCCCAGCCCCACCTCATCACACACACGTTTTCATGAGACAATGATGATGATTGTAGTTTCTGAATCACCAAAGGGAAAGCATTTATTGAATGCAACACTTTCGTCCTTCAGAACCCAGCACTGAAATAATTCCCATCAGATCAAGGAATATTCAACCCAAGGGCCACAAGCCACATATTCTGTGCATTTTATATCCAGTATGCCAAATAGATGTTAGACTAATATCACTTCAGTTTTAAAATGGTAATGATTTCATGACCCAGAATGACTCGTGGTCCTGAGATGGCTCTAAATTTACTTCCAGGTTACAGTAATAAAATACATGTGCTGTTCACCTTAATGCTACATTGAGACAAAATGAAGACAAATTATTGTCATATTAAAAGTAAGCATTGCCTCTGCTTCGTTGGGCAGTGGAAGAATGAGAGCCAGACAGTGAGTTATGGGGTTCTAGAAGGGGTTTCTACTTGGTCCTTATTAGCAACTAGAAAATATAGATGAGTTCAATTCCAGGCAAGCTTGTTTGTCAGACAACAACATAGAAACTTTGAATCAGGTACATTTTGCAAAACCAAAAAAAACTGGAGGTTATTAGGATAATAATCTGTGCATTTGATATAGCGCCTTACCACATTTTCAAGACATCTCAAAGTGCTTCATAGAATATACTGTAAAGTGAATTGACTATATTTAAGGTCGATACATAGCAGCCAATTGCGCACAGCAGTGTCCCACAAACAGTAGTGGATTGAAGTGACCAATTTAATATTTTTTTTGAAGGAATTATTACCCCCAGAAAAGCAATCAGCCAATCGACTAACACAATAATATGGCAAGTTATGAAAAATTCTTACAGGTGTGATTGGCTTCAGAGATTGGATTGTTTCCATTGTCAGGCATCCCCAAGAACCAAGATCTGGATAATAACCTTCTTCTAATAGATATTGACAACCATCAAAATCTTCTTCATCATATAGGACCCAGCTAGGATGGTGAAAAAAGCACATTTGTACACATGCCAAGAGAATTTTTTAATATTCTTAATCACTCAAATTAATATTGCACATTTTGTACATATATTTCCACATTATTTATTGTAATCATTCATCAAACACTTAGACTAATTGATAATACTAAAGAATGCAACAGAACATAATACAGAAAATTGCAGCAAATCTCAATGAAGCCTCTTCTGTCAGTTGGATAACTGTTACAATTGTCAATCCCCAACTGTGTAGCAACATCAAGTATTTTTACACTATAATGACTCAACAAGTACATCATTGTGTCTGTTTGATAATAATAATCCTTGTATTTGATATAGAGCCTTTCAAATCAGTTGGACATTTGAAAGCGCTTCACAGAATTTATTTTAAAGAGTATTTTGACTGTGTATTTTGTAATGGTACTTCTTTTCCCCCTAATTTGAAAATAAATAGTTATAAATACTATATTTAATATCAATATTAATAAAAACTATGTATTTATACATATCGCCTTGCAGATTTGGTAGACAAGTTAATATAGAATATTTGTTTGAAGAATACAGCTTTTATAAACTAGAGCAAAATACCAGTATCTGACGAGACATGACAGGTAAATGTTTTGCTTATTCTTACCATCCACGAACCACCTTAAAGGACTTTAGTTGAAATGTTGATAATTTAGAAACTTCTGTTACAAATTCAATACCCGTTCCCTGAAAGTCAGCTTCGCTGTATGCTTGGAGCTGCAACAGTTACAAAGAATTGTTTTGTCACTTTCAACTTATAACTTTTGTAACAAGCCATTCATACAATGTTACAACAGATTTACTGCAGATTAAATTGACATAAAATCGTCTAAAATATGCATATCAATTATCATGCCAAATAAATAGCAAATCTGAAGATTAAGTACAATGGATGCTGTGACGTGATTTTGTTGGTTGATGTGGAATGAGCTCTGTAATTTAATGTAATTTAATACTTTAATGTAGTTGTTTTCTCCCCTTTGTTCCTGTGCCTTGGCACTCTGCAGCCAATAAACAGGTTATCTTTTAAACACCAGCCATTATTACTGGTTTCCTCCTTCTCTGCATCAGGATCATAGTATGCTAGCTGAAAGCTCCTACAATTGGTTGGTCCAGGGATGCTCAACAGCTGCCAATACCTGTAGTCTAATTGTTAAACAATGATTAAAGGCTCCCTTGATGGACCATTTGGTAACAATACGAGCCAGTGTGGGACTGACCTGAGAGCTGTCAGAAGGAAAAAATGTCACTGACATAACTCTCTTTGATGCGCATTGAAATTTCATCCCTGCAAAAAGAATAATTATCAAGGGGAAGAGATTAATTAGGTAGTTACTGTGGTTATGGAACTAGAACAAAAAGCAATCCAAATTAATTTAACTGATGACGAAAAGGTGCATGGCAGTCAAGAATGCAAACTATTTTAACACTGCTGCATGTTCAACAGAATGCAAATAACATATCCATCTATGCAATAATATATTTTAATGCTAGAGAAATATGTTTAGAAATCTGAGAGTGGATAGAAGGAAAGGATTGAAATTCATGTTGTACTGAGTGGCGATTTTTTATAATATGTCCTTATAATGGAAAATTCCTATTAGGTTTGATGGCAAGAGAAATGTCACCCCTGCAAAGTTAGGTTTATTTTCATACACATGCTTCACTAAATGAAGAAAGCTACTGGTATGGTGTGTGTAATGTTTACAATACCTGGAACTTTGGTTTGTCATTGGGTTCCTGTAATATAATTCACAGAATATTTGTTCAATCACAGTGCAACACCATACTGTATTTCTTGTATAGCATATTTCTGTTACAAAATTTGCTGAAATTTATGGCACAAAATGCTTTATGAAAGATAAACATTAAGGAGTGATTTATAATAATAATTTTACTATTAATGGTACCAATTGTAGATTCAATAACCACTTATAATATTTATGCAATGAAAATAATCAGCATTTTACTCAGTGTGAAGTGCTCTTTACTTGGTTTCGTTTTGTACTGTTCATCTATGTAAATGTTTTATTGTTTTAGGGAGGCTGTGAATAAAATAGATGACATTTGTTTTTTATAACTTTGGTAAGTTCTTTCTAATGAAAGGATGTTTTTTAACAACAAAAACAATAACTTGCATTTATATAGCGCCCTTCACACAGGGTAGTGTCCCGGAGCAATATTTGTTTTAAAAAAGAAGTTGCCAGATTTATAAGCTGACAAACATTATTTATTAGGAAGTATTCAGAATCCCCAGTGACTTAAACCATTAGACCAATAAGTGCCTATTGCAAATTATCTTTGCAGATTTTCCTTTAATAAATCATTTGATATCTAGCTCCCAGCTAAGGGTTTCTGTTGGTGGGGAAACTGTCAAACCTGCAAAGGCTTATTGAAGAAGTCACTCAGTGTTGTACTAAATAACTAACCACAATATCAGCTTTTATTCTGTTGAGTAAGCAGACAACAAACTTTAATTTTTCTTAGATTAAGAGAAGGATTTACCAGGTATATTGGACGTATTGACATGATGGTGCCATCCCTTCCTCCCCAGTCAGCATGGCTTCTGTAGACTCCTTTTTCAAGAATAAACTGCTCTCCTGTGTAATTACTGCCTTGGTATGCCACCCACCTAATACACAAATACATTTTGAGCATCAGACTATTGTGGATTTGTAATTGCGAAGTGTAATTTAAATCTGGACAAATTGACAGCACGCTTACATTCCATTTTTCACTTCAATTGATTGAGTTACTGTTCCGTATGCAATGGTTTCCAAGTCTGGGACGTCATGATTGACAACGGTTTTATTACCATCCTTCAAATCTGGTTGTTCAAATAAAGTGATCACTGGTTGCATAAAATCCTAATAAGAAAGAAATGTTAAAATGTTATCACCACCACAAACAATTATTCCATGCAAGATTTATTTGTTGACATGAATCATATTCCATACTTCAGAATGCTATAATAGAGTGCAGAACCTCTATTGCTGTACTTTATTGGATTGTGCAGTAATCAATCAATGATAATGAAGAAACCATGCATGTACAATGAGTTTTGTCACACTAGTGATTCTTTTGGCACAAATCCCTCTTGTTCTGCTACATCGGACTGTCTGTCTATAAATTTGACAATATTGAATGATATCTGTACAATTTGAGTACGATGCACTGGTAATTTTTTTAATAATATTTGTCTAGCCATGGCTAATCTGTTGAGCTAGACAGGCTGGACAACCATTAACAACCTCTTGGAGTTCCATAGATCTGCCTGGTTTCACCAGGTATATTTGCTTGTATCTGATTCAATCCCAGGGAGGCTATGCTTACTCCAATCCCCAAGTGTATGCAGTACTCATTTTATTGATCTCAAAAGGATGAAGAGATCTGTCGGGATTTGAACCCATAACCTTGTGGCTCCCGAGTCTAGTGCTCAACTGATCTTGCTATGAAATAAGAAGTCATGTCATTGATATATTTTAGCCAAGTGCTCTTCTACAGCTATTGGGGTAATAATAATTGATTATATTTCAGTTGCATTGTGGAAATGTAGAATATATCAAACAGAAATTATGTAACATTTTCAAATCCTTTGTTTCCATTGTGGAGTCCTGTAGCTCAGTGGTTAGAGCACTCGCTTTGCAAGTGAGAGACCTGAGTTCAATTCCAGGCAGAGGGCGAAACCTTGGGCAAGTTTCCTTACTCCACACAGAGCCTAATAATAATCCCTCCAAAACAAAAACAATAATAAATTGGTCATTTTCAATCTATGACTGTTTGTGGGACATTGCTGTGCGCAATTGGCTGCCGCGTTCGCCCACAAATATACAGTCAATTCACTTTACAGTCTATTCTGTGAAGCGCTTTGGGACGTCCTCCCGACGTGAAAAGCGCTATATCAAATGCAAGGATTATTAAGGATTATTTTATTATTTAGAGCACGGTTCATTTTAAAACAAATAATAGTTCTGTCTTGGACAGTGGCAAATAACTTTTTTTTGGCACTGTAGACAATGAACCTATATGTTTGCTACATCTTTCAACCGGGTTAAATGCACAGTACTTCCAGTTCTTCTACGACTGGATTTGATAAAAGATATGCTCAAATCCTCAAAACGTTGCTAAAAGTTAGCACGCCTGTTTCATTCTCTCAGCATTTCTGGAACCTATTATTAGCATCTCTTTAACTGTGAACAATTACTGATGCACAGTAATTGTCATCTGGGTCAGCATACTATAATTTGGAGAAATTACTTGTATGATCTTCAGACATTTCAGTTTTAACACTGTAATCATTTTCTGTAACAGCACTGGTGAACAGGTGCTAACTTGAAATTTAACTCCCGTCAGCTAAAAACCTGTGATTTTTTTTTGTCAAGGTGCAGCAGAATAATATTTAGCAGGTATTAAGATGAATACAAGTGGTCCCCAACTGGAGACCTTTATTAAGATACTATCTTTTCTTAACAGAAATAATCACTGGCTACATTTTCAATCAACTCTGTATAAGATGAGTGGTGACAAACACCTATCTCAATGATTACTCTCTTTCAAAAGATTTTGTGTGATCTTTGGAACAGTTGCTCCCAAAATGGGTAATGTTCTGAAATTTAAGAGGTAGAGATTTAGGCTCTGACCTCATATAATGGAGTCAATGATTTTCAACCCAACCTTGACTGAAACTCTGACTGATTTTGTTTTCTTTCCAGCAAAGGAAGTGTAGAGACAGGATACTTGAAGGCAATAACTTACCACCTGAATGTAACGCAAGGATTGTACTGCACTGTTAAATCCGCCCCACGCATGCCAGTCTTCATATTCCCCTTCCTCAAGAAAGTACTGGTATCCTCTGAAACATTCTTTTTCATAAGCAACCCACCTAAATAACAAATAGACAAAACTAGCATCACTGAATCACTGCTTGAAAAGATCTTGTAGCAGGAATGCATAGTTGTGTAAGCAACTTCCCTTTGGATGTGCTGTCAATACAATTTTAAAAAGAATAGAGTGGAATGAATCATAGAAAATTAGAACGCAGAAGGAGGTAATTCAGCCTATTGTGTTTATACTTGTGCGAGTTTAGCACTGTCCGGCCTCATCTCTCTATTGAAAAAAGTAATGCAGAGTACATATGTATACTTCTGTACTCTATACTGGAATATTTAGATACACAGCATAGAAGAATATTTCAGATGACATGTGTGGAATACTGAACACAACAATTAAAGTATCCTATTATGAAAAACAGAATATTGTTTACCAAGTTGCTTTCATGCACTTTCATGCACTTTAAACATTTGATCACAAATGTCTTATTATTAATCATGGAGTATGGGATTTCCTTGACATTTTAAAAAATATGAACTTATGAACTTATCTTAAAAATATGAACTTATGAACTTATCCACAGTCGTGGATTGAAATGACCAAATTATTGTTGTTTGTTTTCTTGAAGATTATTAAGCTTTTTTGCCCTGCCGGGAATCAAACACAGGTCTCTCGCTTGCGGTGGTTAGTGGTTAGAGCATTCTCCTCTCAAGCGAGAGACCTGAGTTTGATAGACGGCAGGGCGAAACGTTGGGCAAGTTTCCTTAGTCTACACGCCTGATAATAATCCCTCAAGAAAAAAAAACAATAATAAATTGGTCACTTCAATCCATGACTGTTTGTGGGACACTGCTGTGCACAATTGGCTGCTGTGTTTTGCCCACAAATATACACTCAATTCACTTTACAGTATATTCTGTGAAGCACTTTGAGATGTCTAGAAGATGTAAAAAGCGCTATATCAAATGCAAGGATTATTGTTATTTATTATTAAAGATTACTTTTAATGATGTTACAATATGATTATGCAGAGTACTTTCATGGAGCAGCTGATGGATTTCATGTAGCAATGTAACATAACTGATAAAAATCTATGTAAATACCCAATGTGAACTTTTTCAGTGGGATTTTAAGCACCTAATGTTACAATAAAATATGAGAAGCCAAGGTCGCTGCTGCTCGGCTGGAGTCACCATTTCACTGTGGGCAAACTGCAGGTATTATGTCTACAAGACATCATAGATTCACTATCACAGCAGTCACTATTTAACTGGAGACCATATGGAAGCTACGCTACACAAAAACATTCATAAAATTGATCAAAACACAATCATTAGGCATGAGAGAAAATAATTTTTAAACATTCAGTGTATATTTTTCAGACAGACATGTCGCATTAGAGAGGGTTCAGACAGAGCGACATAGATGATGCTCAGACCTTTATGACTCAGAAGGAAAGGACCACAGAGCTGATCATTTGAAAAACAAGATGGTAAAGGGGCACAATCCATGTCCTAAAATAACTAGAAGTTGACTTAGACTGCAAGACCAGAGCTAACAACAACAAAATTAGATTGATATAGCCTGTTTCATTTCAAAAGGACATTCCAAGGCATTGAAATAATGATGACGTGGGGATTGAGGGATGTTGTGGAGTATTTTGTTGATTGACTTTGGGATTTAAGGACTATTTATATAACACTTTCTCCAGCAGATGGAGTGAGTGGAGGAAGCCCATGATAAGGTAGGCTTCACCTGGTCAGTGAAGTATTAATAGGCCTTTTCTCATTTAAGTTTTCTTATGCTACAGACACAAAAGAACCAATTTTCCTTAAATAACATATTGGCATGTTTACCAGTGCTGGAAACAGCCATTGCACCTTGTACAATAATAGCAACTTGCAATGATAGAGTGCCCTTCAAATTAGATAATGTCTCAGAGTGCTCTTCTCTGATGGGATTGACTCAGGTTCAGCAGGGAGGGGAGAAGGTGGAGGTGACCATAGACATGGTCAAAGAAGTAGTTTTTAAGGCAGGATTTGAAGAGAGAGTTGGGTGAGAGAGTAGCAGAAGAGACGGTTTGTAGCAACAAAATGAAAAATATGTGAATATTTGCCTCATTGACACTGTAGTGCTGTTTGTGTTTTCAAAATGGCCACTGGAAAAGTAGACAGGAACAGACTACTTTTCTCAAATGAAAAAAATCACATCATTTTACTGTGGATATCATGTTGCAATTTTTATTGTGAAACAATCAGACAAGAATGGCTTGCATTTGGCATTATCAGGGCATGACTGCATACCTTACCACAAGAGAAAGGCACTCCAACAACAACAAATTACATTTGTATAGTGACTTTCACATCAGGAGGATGTCCCTAGTCACTGGACAGTCATTGATTTTAACCCGAGCTGGGGGTTGGGCTAAGGAGAGGTGGAGGGCAGTTAAGCTGGATTATTCTGGGAACGATTGGTTCAGCTTTCAAAAAGGATGATTCAGATGGGTCAGTCATACAGAGTTATCCCCTTTTGTATTACTAGATAGAAACTGATAGTTGACTATCAATGGAGAATTATAGTTTAGTATCTTTAATATCGCAGGGTACTTTAACCGTTCTGCTAGATAGTCATATTTGATTTAGACCCAATGTAAACAATGCAGTATCAAATCCACACTGAAGATGTTAATGTATTCCACCCAAATGAACATGTTTATTTGAGATCATTTATAAAACATTAGGGTCTATAGCATGCTGATGGCTAAAAGTAGTGATCATTTAGTTACTTTGATCTTCCATTAGAAATAGATAATGAAAAGATCGCTATTTCAGCAACTGTTCTACCTCAATAAAACATTGTACTGTAAATTTCTTATCACTATGTGAAATGACTGTCTACTTATTCCAAATATTCATTTCAAATTCCAATTGTTCTCTTGTACAATTATGCTTCAGCTGCTGAAAAGGTGACTTTTTTGGTTGTGCATTTGTCTTATTATGACAAAAATGTTACTATATTGTACAGAAGCCTTGTGATCTAATTGTAATAATGTATTACAAGGTGTGCATATTAATTTTTCTTTTAAACCGAGGTCAATGGTCATTTTAACACTTTGATTCATCTTATGCTATAATAATCACCGGTAATGGCAAAATCTCCAGTGAATACATGCATCATTGTTCATTCAGGCCTGATTCATTAAAGTAAAGGAGTAACAAATTAGTATTCTGTAAATAAACCCAATGCTAACATCCCACACAGTTCCCAAGCACAACAGGAGCCATTCTCCAATAATAATAATAATAATAATAATAATAATCCTTGCATTTGATATAGCGCTTTTCACGTCGGGAGGACGTCCCAAAGCGCTTCACAGAACACACTGTAAAGTGAATTGACTGTATATTTGTGGGCGAATGCTCAGTAATCCCAATATAAACTTACATCACTAAAGTGTAAATACGAGGACAAGTGGAGAATACAATGTTAAAGAGTATCAAGGTCCATGAATTTATGAAGCTTCTGAGAGTAATCCCTAATAAACCCATTTTACTAGGAGTTAGCTGCTATTTACAAGACATTGCTGATATTGATGTGTCAATGTACTCAATAATTAAATACTCCAGGATGTATTGCTCTTTTTTGTGGTTTATACATGTTGAAGTTTTTAATCAAACTAAGTCAACATTGGTCAATTTGGTTGGATTCTCAGCTAATCCTTTGACATATGGTATTTACAAAGAGCAAAGTAGTTCCACATCTTTGACTCATGAATATGCTTGGCATTCTCCTAATGCAGAATTTTCAATGATTCTTTTTTTAACAACGTTTCCCATTCATATAGCACCTTTCATGCGGGGAGGAGATCTCAAAGCATGACACATTGCTCACTGGTAATCCCAGCTGGGGTGGTGGGGAGAGGTGCTGGGGGGAGGGGAACTGAGGAGATAGGAAGGTGGCTAAAAATCTAATCGAGGAGATAGGTCTTAAGGCAGGTTTTGAAGGCAGGAAGCAGTTTCAGATGGTAGGATAGAGCATAGCTATGTAGAGATTTGAAAGTGAGGGAGAGGATCTTGAATTTGATCCACCTCGGGATGGGGAGCTAGTGGAGCTGTGTGACGATGGAGGTGATGGGCTCACAGAGTTTTCAAACACGAAGGAGTGATATTCCCCTCGGTGGTAAAAGAATGGGAGAACTTACTGAAGCAGACAGTGCCAGAGAGCTGAATTACTGTCGCTAGATTTAGCCATTAACCCATGATAAATCATTGATTTCATTATATCAACCGTATGTTAATTTAAGTCATTTGTGTGTGTGCCTCACTAACTCTTCCAGGCCATTTACCCCTGATGCTGTCATCAGCATTCCAGATATAAACAAAACAATTTTAAAAAATCAATGACCAAGGAGAAAAAAAATCAGTTATTTAAAATTCACCATAGTTTTTTTTAATATAGCTGTCTGATTTTTAAAAGGAACACTAAAGGCGAGAGTTACTGTTTAACTTAGCATTCAAAATATTTCCCTCAAACAAAATTCCTTCTTGAAGGCTTCTTTCATTATTCCATTTCATAACAATTTGGAAATACTCACACTCCACCAATGACTCGTATTGACCCAAAGCCTCTAAAGTCTTCATTGTTCATTTCAGCATCCTCTTTCCAAAGTGTCTTTGACTCTAATACGTCCTTTGAGACTTCCTTGAAGTTTCCACTGAAGAATGGCTTCTCAAATATTACAACCTAGATTTAAAAGCAGTATTTCACTATGTTTAGAATAATTTGGACAGCTGATGTTCAGACCCATGCTTCTCTTTATATCTCGTTTTACAATGTTCAACTTTCACAGTGTTACACAGTATTCCCATATTGGAAGGAGCCTTTCGATTAACACCTTTCTTTGTAGCATGAAATTTATCTCATTTTACTAATTCTCAAAATGGGTTATTTAATCAAAACCTCTGAGTACTTCATTATTAAACTGCACAATAAATCTTACCAGAATGTGTAGTCGGTGGATGTCAATGTTTCTGAAAGATGTCAGAACATTTGCCAAAGAAATTGTCAATTGGATTAGAAAGTACCGCAGTAATGAATCACTTTTGCTCAGACTTGTCTAAAATTGTGCCTTTGGCCACCTCTCCTCAAGCCCCCACCCCCATCTCCCTCACACCTCCGGCTCCCACTCTGTCTTTGTAAATTGCTTTGAGACATTCTCTCTACATTTGCCCACAAAATATAGTCTCAATCCTTTACAGCATATCTTGTGAGGTGCTTTGAGACAATCTCCTGATGTGGAAGATGTTATATCAAAGTTGGATTATTATTGTTATTATCTTGTGTCATTGTGCTTTATAACCAAAAATGTTGTTGTTGCTATTTAGTGAGAAAGCTGAGAGACAATATTATGAAGAATATGTTTTAACAGACTGGTTTCTTTAGCTCTTACCTATAGAGGAGGCAACAATTGACATTGTACTGTCAAAATGAATTATTAGTGACTTGTTTTGATAAATATTTAGCTTTACAATACAATACAAAATTAGATTTGTATAGTGCCTTTCACGTCAGGAGGACATCGCAAGGCACTAGACAGACAGGGATTTGGAGCCAAGTTGGGGGGTTGTGTTGTAATGAGGGAGGGTGGAGGCAGGGTGGGTAGGAGGGTGGCCGAAGGCACGTTTGAAGAGGAAGGTCTTGAGACGTGCCTTGAAGGAGGCAAGGGAGGGAGGCAAAGGGAATGTGAAATATGATTTATTGTTTAAAATAAAAAACAATAAAACTTTGCTCTTGGCATTTTAACTGGTTGGGGGAGGAAGAACAGTAAACTAGTCAGAAGGGTATGGAGTATGAGCTTGGATGCAGGGTTGTGAACGTTTACCACAGATAGGATGGAGTAAGGCCACTGAAGGTTTTGAAAATAAAGGCAAGGAAGGGACATTGAGGGATAAGGAGCCAGGGCAGCTCAGCTAGAATGGGGGTGAAGGAGCTCAGGACAAGACGTGGCTGAGGTATTCTGTAAGAGCTGAAGTTGGTCAAGGTTGGAGTCAGGGAAAGTACTCAAAACACGATAACAATTTATAACAATCTTCCCACAGGGTTTGTGAAGGATAAACAATTATATATAATCTCTTGTGATTCAATAGGTTCCAACAGTGAAGGCAGAGCTTTAGTGGGCAAAATGGCCTCTTCTCATCTTCAACATATTCATTTTCTTCTGTGTGCCAAACTATGCTCATACTGTTTAATTCATATGTCATAAAACAGCACATTCGTGATAGATATGCTAGATCCCAATCTCGCATTTGGTGTTAAACTATTGATTATTGTACAGCTATTGCATCAAATAAAGGTGGGCTGCAGTTTCAGTGCTACTAGCTTCTTCAAAACCTACTTAAAGAACTTTGGACTATTTTGGGAGCAAATAATGTGAGATCTCAGCTTTGAAAACATGTTGTCTTTCCCATCTGATACCTCTCCCAAGAAAGACACAGAGACAACAAGGCAGCTTTCAACTTCAGATGTTCGCTTCTTCAAAATCAGCTGTGGTCTGCACAAAATATGCTGGGAATGACATGCTTTTACAATGCTGACTTTGCAAGACTTTGCAACTAGGACAGTCATAACCTCCTGCATTATAAATGCGTCTTTCTCAAGGTATTTGTTTTCAAGTGATTCGAAAGCAGTGAATCTTTAATACCTACTTCTGATTCAGTCTTCATTCAGTAGAAACAAATGTCAGCAAGTGGATGAAACAGATATATTTCAATTATATCAGACTCAAGCAGGACTTTTTAAATTGAACAGTGTAAGAGTAATAATATACACATACCTTGGGAGACAGAGGACTCTCTACTTTCAGTGCACCCTAAAGGAAAAAAGAAAGTGATGCTTATATTCAATCAAACTGAGTCAACATGAATAACCAGTTAAGTTTAACAAGCTCACAATAATACAAATCCGATGCATTATAAGATGGTGGTTAGGGGACATAATGGAGGGCAATGTAAGATGACCACCTGCTGTATGCCACATGTTAAGCACACATGGTACTGTTTACATAATTTTCTGCACATCATGCATGCCTTCAATGAGCAGAAAGCGCCATTGGTGTTATTTCCTATGTGCTGTTCATGCGCATTATGTACAGGATGTACTGCTAGTGTGACTTCACACATGCTCCGCGAGTACATTATATACAAGAAACTACAGCGTACAGCAAACCGGCCAGTGAGCGGTATTACATGTACGCTTACCAAGTGTATCATGTTTCTGGGATAGCACAATTGGAGCACTATACTGAGGGTGCATTTTAATTCGGGTCAGACTATATTGTGGATTAAAATACAGTAAGGATGTGATAATAGTCACAAGGGGAGAAATTGTTGTTGTTTTGGGGGTTGTCTTCAATAACAGATTTGGCAGTGATCGCTCCCACCCCCCCCCCGCCCATGCCTTCTGGAGAATGGTTTCTTCCTTGAGTCCATTGAGAATTCAAACAAATGACTTGTAGACTGTGAAACCATTACAATTTGTATTCCTGACCAAGTGAGGTCTTGTAACTTTTAATTTTAAATTGTACTGCAATTTGTGCCGATTGAGCCAGGCTGGCTGGTCTGTCACCAGCGACGCCCTCGAGCACCGAGGCCCTGTCTGGCTGGGAACAAGTCTACCAAAACCACCATAGAGAATCCGTGGAGCCTTTCACCTTATGTGCTGTACTTCTATCATATCACATAAAATATAATCTGATAGTAATAAATAGGCAGTATTAATAAATAACAATATTAATTATCGTCCTCACCATCTTCAGAGGCCGCAGTGATTTGACATGCTCTGACCTCAATTCACTGGACATTGCACCAGGATTACTGTCAGGTTCCAGCACAGTAAACTGACCATTGAAATTCGGCTTTTTGTAGGCAAGCCAACTGGAAAAAGAACAGTCATTTTAAACTTAGGAAGATACTGAATAATTCAAAAGATGCTTCACATAGTATTTGAATTATTATATAATGGTTATGTGTAGGATAATGAATAATTTATTAATCCATACACATCTCAACATTTAATTAACAAAATACGCATAAAATCCCACATGCGTCATATTGGTTTGGGTCATACATGCACCAAGCTTACACTAAGGTCAATGGTGTAACTACACCTGTGTTCAAAGCGTTCTCCACTTATAATATTGTTCAGAGATTTTAAAATAAATATAAAATGTCAGACTGCAGGTAAAGGATTTGGATTCCAGAATAACTAACGTTCAAACTTGGCTGGACAGCCACTTGAAGTTCAGGATTCACAAGCTCTGCCTCAAGTGAAACAAGAAGCTAGCCGATCACCAAATAGTTCCTCCTTTACACTCTCTTGGCACTGCCAAATGTCCAAATCATTTTGTATTGTCATAGATAAATACTGTCAGATCTAATTTCTGATATTTTGTAACAGCATTCCTTATTAACAAGAATCCTTAATAAGGCATCCATCACAATTTCTGTTAACTAACAGGAAATCCACTATACTCAGTGTTACAGTGCTATAGGTGTTTACGTGGACTGGTATGGTTTGCTTCTATTTACTGAAGCATTCTCCATTTGTACAAATTTGATTCCTTTGTTATGAATTCTGTTAAGAAAACACTGCATATAATTTCTATGTAGCCGAACTGATAACAGGATGTTATTAGATATGGGAAATAGTTGCTGTTTTATAATTTGTTTAACAATGTGGTCTTAAATTGGGAAAATCTTATTGTGGGCAGTCACTGCACTTATCAGCAATAGGAATTTTTCAACCTTGGTCCTAATTTGAAAACAAGAGTGAACAGGGTGTTCCACTGAGGTTGCTGGGCTGTTGATAAGTGCTATAATGGCCATTTGCTCATGAATTGCTTATAAATTAGCATTTGGCAATACTTAGTGATTCTCAACTCAAAATCATCAACAAAATTGTCAGTTGTTAGATCTTTGGAGCTAATCCAAGAAGGCATTAGTCCAACACTCTCTGTGGAATGGTACCTTCTGCTGATATGAAGGTACCTGTATGTTCCATCTTTCAGCTGCTTTGTTTTTTATGTATTTCATCAGTATGATTTTGACTGCCAACAAGTTTATAGACTCTTGTTTCTGTGAAGCAAGCTATTTACATACATTTCCAACTCAAGCACTGCAACTCTGGAAAAAAATACCAATAACGCATTAATAAAGCTACTTAGAGATTAACTTAAGTGAAATAGACCTAATATTAGAAGGATAGCTTTATTACTATAATACAGGGTGGAATTGTAACTTGTAATGTCATAATTATCACATTACCCTGCACCCAGCCCCTGCACTGTCTCGCGCAGTGTTCCTCAGGGCTCTGTCCTCGGTCCTCTCCTCTTCAACCTGCTCCCTCTTGGGGACATCATCCGCAGACATGGGGTCAACTTCCACATGTATGCAGATGACGCCCAACTCTATCTCTCTGCTTCCGGTCTCAACTCCAGGATAACTGATGTCCTGACAAATTGCCTGTCAGACATCATGTTCTGGATGGGAGCTAACTTTCTACAGTTGAACGTCAGCAAGACTGAGTCTCAATCAGGAGATTGGCTCGCGCCAGCACCTCTCCCGCACCAGGCTCCATGACCCCATCACCCACACCCTCACCCGGCTCCACTGGTTCCCCATCTCTCAGAGGATCGAGTTCAAATTTCTCATCCTCACCTTCGAAGCCCTCAATGGCCTTGCCCTCTCCTGCCTCTCTGACCTGATAACCTCTTATCAACCTGCCCTCCCACCTTCTCTGCCCTCCACCCTCCCTGATCCTAAACCCCGCCACCTGTCATGCTCGGGCGAGAATGAAGTATCCAAATAAGAGACAAAAAGGAGTCAAAACGTTATGGAGAGGTGGAAGAGGAGAAAATTAGTGAGGAAAAATTGGCAATGTTTTCCAGTTTGTGAATACTTTGTTTAAACAACAATTAAGGGTGAAGTTATACAGAAGATTGGCTTTGAGAAGTTACAATATCTGAGCATCTAAAAAACCTCAATTTATATCAGTGAAGCATTAAGTTGATAACCATGGTAGATCTTAGTAATTCCCCCGAAAGGTCTCTAAACAGACAGTAGTTCTCATTGTTTAAGCACAATTAGAAAAATAATTCAACAGATGAAAGAAAGATTCTATAATCTCAAACAGCTAAAGCTCACGATAGCTCTAGCTAAATTTTTTTCAAAAATGCTGACAAGAAGGAGATGAAGCTGAACAAGCCATCAGTTTCACCACATTGAGGTAACATTCAATATGGCACTGTGCTTTGATACAATTTATCTCAACAAGAGGAAGCTATGAATGAAACAGTGTTTTCTATGCACATAAGGTGCTTTTTCAGAGAGGTCAAAAGTGTGGTTTGAACCTACAAGTTGACACAGTGATTCCCAATCTTAATTAGACTATCATGGGGAGGATCAAATCGAAGAGCGGGTACTTCCTTGCACAGGGTAAAAGGGAATTAGCAATCATCCCACGTCACTTTTTATTCACTCCTTTTATAGCAATCATTTTTCAGACAAATAATACAGGACAACCCCTTTATTACACGGTTGCCAGAGTCCAGTATTTCAGAGACTACATTTTACAATGTGTCAAAAACTGTCCAATTGCTGTGTCATCTGTTTATTGCTGGCGTAGCTTCCTGCATGTGTGTACATGTGTGTCAGGCACAAGCAATGCCACTTTCATCGTCAGGTACAGGAAGCGACATTAGAGGCATTTCCTGTGCACAGCAAACGTGCAACTGGCTGGAGGTGACATTGATGGTGAGTTGATGACCTGAAGGCCAGCACCAAGCTGACCAGAAAGCAACTTGGGTACAATGCTTCAGTTTTAGCATGGAACCATTTACAGGGATGAGTGGTGTTTACTCAACAGGTGAGATTGTATAAATGGAATGCTTTGCTTGTCACAAGTGTGTTATTATTTGGATATGTTATTACATTATGGAGCAACCAAAACAAACAAAATCACATTTGTATAGCACCTTTCACGTCAGGCGGATGTCCCAAGGCGCTGGACAAACAGGGTTTCGGACCCAAGCTGAGGGTCGGGATTGGGTAGGGTTGAGGGCAGTGGGGGAAGCAGGGAGATCAAAAGCACAGTCGAAGAGGAGGGTCTTGAGATGGGTTTTGAAGGTGGCAAGGGAGGGGGCGAGGCAGAGAGACTGCAGGATGGAGTTCCAGAGAATGGGGGCAGAGTGGCAGAAGGCTCGCCCACCAATAGTGAGGTGAGCGAGGCGTGGGACGTGATGCAGGCTGGAGCCTGCTGAGCAGAGGGAGCGAGCAGGGTGGAAGGGGATTAGGAAGTCACAGAGGTAGGGGGGAGCAAGACCATGAAGGGCTTTGAAGGTGAGGACCAGGATCTTGAACTGTATCCTCTGTGTGATGGGAAGCCAGTGGAGTTGGGCAAGGGTGGGGGTGAGAGGGTTGCAGTTCTGGATGATTTGCAGACTATGGAGGGAGGCGTTGGGGAGGCCGACAAGCAGGGAGTTTGAATAGTTAAGCCTCTATGTAATGAAAGTATGTATGAGGGTTTCGGCGGCCTGTGGTGTGAGATAGTGATAGAGCCGGGCGATGTTGCGGAGGTGGGGGAAGGCAGAGCGGGTCATGGCGCAGATGTGGGGTAGAAAGGATAGTTGAGGGTCAAACAAGATGCCAAGGTTCCGGACTGCCTTAGTAAGGTGGAGTGTGCAACCATGGATGGTGATGCTGTCAGAGCCTGAGGTGTGGAGGCGCTGACAACAACAACAACAACAACAAGATTCCATTTATAGAGCGCCTTTCACGTCAGGAGGACGTCCCAAGGCGCTGCACAGTTGGGTCATGACCCGAGCAGGGGGGAAATGGTCAGGGTGAGGGGAGGGAAGGGAGGGAGAGAGGAGGGGGGAAGGGAGGGAGCGAGGAGGAGGAAGAGAGTCGAGAGGGGAGCTGAAGGCACGGTCAAAGAGAAAGGTTTTGAGACCGGCCTTGAAGGAGGAAAGGGAGGAAGCAAGGCGAAGGCACTGGGGGATGGAGTTCCAGAGCCTTGGGGCGACGGGAGCCAATCAGGAGAGCCTCGATCTTGTTGATGTTCAACTGAAGAAAGTTAGCTCTCATCCAGGACTTGATATCCGACAGACATTCAGTCAGGACAGCAGTGGTCCTGGAATCAAAGGTGGAGCAGAGAGATAGAGTTGGGCGTCATCCACATATATGTGAAAGTTGACCCCATGTCTGCAGATGATGTCACTAAGAGGAGCATATGGATATTGAAGAAGAGAGCTAGAGGAGAAACCATTTGTGGAGATGACGTGTAGGCGGTGTGAGAGGTATGATCTGAACCATTGAAGGACAGAGATGTGCAGGTTGAGGTGAGAGGAGAGGCAGTGGATGAGCCGGAAAGAAAAAATAGAAAATACCAGTTCTTACAAGGTTACAGGGAGTGGCCAAAGAACAATTTTTCATTCCAAACGTCGACCATTTGCTGAGATTGTTTTTACTGTGGCCCAAGCAAAACATAACAACACAAAATAGTGGTCCACAACAGTAGTTCAACAGCACAATGGATCATTCAAGCACCTCTCTGCCCCTCCTACAAATGTCTGATTCTTCCCCTGATAACCTGACTAAACAAAGTAAAATGAACTGTGAGTCAACATCATAAACATGAGTCACAGTAGTATTGCAGGAAATATAAAGTCTCTGCCATATATTTCACATGGAGAGATTTGGGTTTGATCCTTTTATTCCTTAAAAGGGTATGATGAGTTTCTATTAAGTTTAACAACTTTTTATTATACAAATACATTTTAAATACTATATTTTGATAAAAAAGCAGTAGATGACTGCGATTAAAGAGTAAATAACAAAAGAAGGTCAAAATAATTGTACTTGATAAACCACACTTGCTTATACTGTCTCCAAATTTCACATTGAATTCTAACTTGTCATACTTCCAAACTATGTTTGAAATGATAGTTGAGGGGTCAGTTATGCATATTTAAAGCTCTCTATTGTGCAATGTTCAGAAACTACATAAATCAATCCCTCAAGGTGTGTCTCTCTGTCACACAGAATCACTTTACAGGTTCATATCCATTTATTATTATTCTCGATGATGACAGAAAAACAGAAGCTAGTATGGTCCCACCCCATTATAACAAAGCAGTTGGGAGTCCATAAAATGAGTTATAATGGAATGTGTTGCAGTGCAGCACTTTCAGGTTGTCAAGGTCACCTCTAATGTTACCAAGCATTGTTGTTCCTGCATGCCCTCTGCAGAAAGCTAGCTTTGTTGAGCATTTTTTCAAAGTTTGCTGGGGACAACACTAACATTCAGAGGCTTGTACACTTGGATGCCAGTGAAAACACCAATAAGAACGGCAGTAAATCAGTGCAGGAAGTATCCCACACTTAACTTGCAGTACACTGCAGGTCCATGATGTTCCTGTGTTATATCCAAACATTCATTATACTGAAGGGTTCGAACTGTAGTTACTTCAATGTAAACTGGCATTGTGTAATAACCACTATTTCCGTGGTGCCAAAACAGACTGTAACAGGCATCGGCATTGCATCGGGTAAACAAATTCAACAAGTGGCAATTATTAAACCTGGGTACACACCTAGATAAGTGTAGGTCACAGGAACAGGTCTATTTTGTAGAGGAAATTAGTTTGATTATGGGATTAGTTGTGAGGCTATTATAGGGGCTGTTGATACTCTAAACAATCTATAACTGTAACAAGAGGATTTCACTCACATTCCTGAATTGACAATGATAGAAGACATAAGGATTGAAATTCCAACTTCCCCTATGCAGGCAATTTCATTCTGTAGAAATATTGGAATGTTGTCTTGGCAAGACTCCCGGATTTCAACCTCTGGAATGCAGTGATTCTGGAACAAAAAACATGCATGTTAGATGTTTGTTTTGAAGTGTGATTTTATAGGTGGGTGAATCATCAATGCTTTGCATATGCACAGATATGAACAAAAATAATTTGCACTTGTCCAGGGGCTTTCAGCGTAATTAAAGTGCTTAGCGGAGATGGAGTGCTAGCCTGAGCAGGGTGAGGGGGGCAGGATGGAAAATATATAGGGAGGAGGTTTCCTGTTGCTGGGAGTGAAGAACTGTTGTTATTATCTTTTGTTAAGTCTGGGCTATAGCAATAACTCTATAATATCAGCAGACATTTTCTACATTTTCAAATCTTGTTATAATAATAATAATCCTTGCATTTGATATAGAATATGCTGTAAAGTGATATTCACAGAATATGCTGTAAAGTGAATTGATTGTATACTTGTGGGCAAAACGCAGCAGCCAATTGCGCACAGCAGTGTCCCGCAAACAGTCTTTGATTGAAAATAACCAATTTATTATTGTTTTGTTTTTTGGAGGGATTATTATTAGGCGTGTGGAGTAAGGAAACTTGCCCAAGGTTTCGCCCTGCTTGGAATTGAACCCAGGTGTCTCGCTTGCAAGGCAAGTGCTCTAACCACTGAGCTACAGGACTCCACTTCAACGTCCAGGGAGTGTGAAAGGGTCAACAACAATAATACTAGTCCACTATCTGTAAATACCTACAAGTAATGGAGACCAGGGGTCCTGTGAATCAGTCATTTCCTTATTATGGCTAAAATGCCACCACAGCCTTCATTATCACACTTGAGAATATTTATTTTTACATACATTACAGGGATTTGAAGAATAGAAAAATAATTCTAAGTGCAGCAGAAAATAAATTCACCATCAATGTTTTTCATTCCAAGTATTTTATTGAATAGTGTGATAAAGTATAAGCTCATATATTTGATTGTCTTGGTCATTTGAATTATGGGGACTGAGAGCAGTGGGTGTGGGGGGGTCAGGCTTCAGAAGTTTTCATTTCAGTTCCCAAGAAAGTAGGACAAATTATTCCACCTGCCTCTAAATAACTTTAATGTTATATGATTATATAACGTACATTTCCCATGTAATCAAAGTACTGCTGATATTAGATTAGAATTCCATTCAAGCAACTCAGTCCAACAATGTTTACTTCCAAACGGGGTTCATAAAATCATAGAATTTACCTCACAGTAGGAAACCATTGGGTCCATCATGTCATGGCAGCTACCCATTTAGTCCCAATCCCTTTCCCCATTCCCCTTAATATTTATCTCTCCTTCAAATATATGTCTAATTCTCTTTTACATCCTACTGTATTGTGGCTTTTGTTCCAGCCCTGTTTTTTCTATTAGAGTGTTCCATGTCTGAACAACTATTTGTGCCTAAATTATTATCCTAAACTTCTGCTTTAGTGATTTGGGTAATAATCTTAAATTTATGCCTTCTAGTTATCCACTCACTGATCAGCAGAAATACAGTAGTATCTGATTTTCTTACCATGACTGTCTGGTGCAATCTCATTTTCTCTAGCTTCTTTGCAGTTTTGGTAACACCATTGCACAATTAACTCTCTTAATGCTAGTGAGTTCACAAGTAACAAGGGAAACATCAATGTGAAAGGGAGGAAGCAGAGAAAGGGAACAAGACCTAAGAAAGAGGGCAATGGCAGTGCGATGATCCATTATAGTTGTAATCTTGCTGCTCAAAATAGCATTCCAATTACCTTTACTTTGGGAAGGTAGGATGCTTGCAAAGATCTATATTAAATGCTATGCATTTGGGATTGGAGTAAAAATGTTCAATACCACCTTTAATGAAGTTATTTTTTTACTATGACTTAAAATTGTTTGACCTTATTGTGACATATTTTCATCAAAAACCGATCTGTTTAATAAAACTTTTTCTGGTGAGTATAAAAAGACAATCAGTGTTGATTAACTTTTTTTTAAATTGCATTGTTAAATGTTGCATATACTTGTAATCCTTAAGAGAGTCTCATTACACAAATCTAATTAACTTCAATTTCTTTTCAGGCATAGTTTTAATACTTGGGATCTCTGCCAAACTCATTTCTTCTGAAGTATTATTAGTGATACGAAAGCAGTTTAAATGGCAATAACATTTTCATCCTTCAGAAACATTTCCTGTTTATCTTTAAGTACTGTACGATTCACCTTATTCTGATTTGTTCCTTTATTTTAGTGGAGAGAAAGGTCAGGAGCTCACCTTTGTAACCCTTTTAATAGAACCAATCACGATTTTTTGGGCTGAGGATTCCATGGCCAGAAAATCATGGTTGAGCCATAGCTGTTGTAATTCCTTCTCTCCTTCTTCCAAGATATAAGCTTGACCTTGGAATTTAGGCTTTTCATACAATATCCAACTGAAATGAGGATGGATTTAATAGTAAAAAATAGATATACAAGCAAACGCACCATGCTAAAAAATTTATTTGAAATTTTGCTGTCTTGCTGTCATCTTGCTGTCCTTGTGGATTTTTTGGATAAGCTGATCCACCTATCAGTTTACTTTCCTCTGTTCCATAAATGTCTGAACCTTTAGATTCAGATCATTCTTTCACTGTAAGGTTAAAGTAGGATTTCTAATTATAAGCTTACATCTAAGTATTCACAACATTGAGCAAATACTGTACTGCAAAAAAGCTACATAGCATTAAGTGGTAAAAACCATGGATAGTTGGTTCTGTGGATCTACATATCCCATAAACTGGATTAAGAGCACCCTTGCTTTCTTTAGGACTCTAGAGCCCAAACCTGAGAAAGATCATTACACAGACTTGGTGATTCGGTGCCTTATTCTACAACCAATCCTTAAACTATAGAACCATAGAAATTTGGAGGCCATTTGACTCATTTTGTTTGTGTCGGTGCTTGCTTCTCAACGTGAAGAGAAATTCCACATGGGTCGAGATTTACTCTATTTATGTCACATTTTGATTGTCCAGAATATGGCAAATTCTTAAACACAGCCTTAATTTTGAAGATTTTTTTCTGTAAGTTCTTTTTAGGAACTATGGTGGGATTTCTTCTCACAAGAAGTCATCCATCTTAATCACAATTCCTTGTTCTTTCCCTTTACTATCTAATACCTTGCAATGAAGCATGGTCTTTGAGTAAATGACTAGGATATATTCCACAGTTGTTTAAATGATGTGATACTACTTATTAAAACCATTAAACTAATTGTTACCAATACCTTAGCTTCTATGAAAAAAAATTGTTTTCTTACCATCCTCTAACAACTTTCAGTGAAATTCCTTTTGAAAAAATCCAGCTTGTAGCATCAGGTACATCAGTCATGATTTCATGTTTGTTTCCATGAAATTGTAATTGATCATAAATAACCATCTAAGGTGGCAAAAATTAATAAAGTGTTCAATCAATACAGAAAACAATTAGGTGGAGATTTATTTTTCAATGCTTTAAAAATACTTGACTCACCTTTCCTGGCCTTGGGTTGATTTTCAAATGTGTGTCCTTAATAAGAGACTGGAATGCAATATTACAGTGATAAATCATGAATTTCAACCAGATGAATATTTTACTTTTACCATGTTATATTAATCCTATCATTTGATATAGGGCCCATAATATCTTAAAGCACTTCAATGGGTAATTGCTGTCAAATGTAGTGACTGTATTTATACGTTGATATGACATTCAATTTTTACACACAGCCATGAGATGAATGGTGATATGCCTTGAGTATTGTTGGCCAGGATATTGGGAGAAACTCCCTTCTCTGATTCAATAATGCTGTGAGCTCTTTATATATTAGGTATGTGTATATTCAAATCTGTCTTTAGCAACCACTCAGGAAACTGGGCCAAAGTGGCCTTTATATAAGGGTGGCCTCTGAGTAAAGGTTTGTTTGTGTGCAAACCGGGGTGTCTTGTATGTTCTAGGGTAGTTGTTAACAGGGGTGATTGCTGAATGGAGGTAGAGATCCCACAGCACAAGGGGAGAAATTAATTACAAAGAAGGAGAACAAGAAAAAAAAGTCTTACCTTTGATACTAATGGATTGTTTGGCGGATCTGGCTTTTGATTTGTCCTGTAGCTCGAGTCAGTTTCGTCTGCTGCTTGTTTTATTTTTGCCAAAGAAAATGACTGAAAGTATTTATAAAATATATTTTCTGGTGCCTCAGCACTGATGGTAGTCTTGGATTCTCTTTGTAACTGTGAATTCGATGTTTGAAGAGATTCCTCTTCGACCGTGCTTAGAGTCACATCCTTCCTCCCTGGCTCGGTGTCAGACTCCTCCACTGTTAAGTGCTCTGAGACGCTGGCCATCGTGAAGGGTGCTGTATAAATGCAAGTTGTTGTTTGTTCCTCATGTAGGCTTGCTTTCGTCAGGTTGTTACTAGAAACTGCTGCACTCGCTTCTAATGCAGGTACAGAGCTGATTGGGGTTTCCTCTAGTTCTTCACATTGTTGAGCTGAATTTTCTGGTTGTATCAAACGTAAAGAAGTTGTTACAGATTCAAATACAAGTGAAACAGGTGCAATGGTTTTCTGTTGTGTTGGTTCACTTGCCGGATGAGACTTGACACAGGAGTCCATTGTTTCTTCATTTGGTAATGATTCTTCATATATTGGTGATAAAGAAAGAGGATAAATCTTTGTTCTGCCAAAGGTCCAACTTGGAGAATTAAGTTGGACCAATTCAGCCTCTTCCAATAACCACATTTCTGTTTCATCCTCATTATCCTGCTCTTCAGTAAGCTCTCTGTCTTCTCCAATAGCATTGCTCACTGGTACAGTTAAATCTGAAAAGAGGTGAACGTTTGGGGATATTTCAGAAAGGTTGTCTCTTCTTTCATCTTCCGTGCTGTCATTTATTTCATCTAAATGCATTGCTCTTGGTAACTTATCTGACCTTGGTGTGAAATGATTTTCTTCTTCTGAACTTATAATGCTTTTCTCAAAATCAAGAATTAAATGATCTTGGCACTTATTTGGCTGGAATGATTTCACTGAATCAGTGCTTAACTGATCAGAGCTCTGTGCTGGTTCAAAGATGCTATATTCTTGTTTTACCAGGGTAGTGTTTTCTTTGTCTGTAGGAGCCCCACTTTGATATTCCACATTTACAATTTCTGAAGATATTTCTGATGATAAGCATTCTGTTGTATCAATGGTATTTTTGATCTCAGTATCAAGGTTTGGCAGTTTTTGAGAATCTTCTGTATTAACTTGACTGTCATTTCCAATGCCCTGACTTGCTGAAGGCAGAGACTCCGTGGTAGTATTTAAACCCATATCCAATCTCTCTGCTGTACATTCCATGCCTTCAAACAAATCACCCATTTGGACTAGCCAGTTGGACTGTTTTGCTATTATCTGCCCAGGCGTGAATTTTCCTTCTCCTGAATTTGTGATATTTATCTCAGATTTACCAATTGCAACATTATTAATGCTTTCATCAGAATTTATATTCCCAGTATCATTTCCTACCCTGACAACCTTTGTTACATCTGAACTTGTTTCTACAGTAATAGCATCATCTTCGTTTGCTGTAGCACTTGGCTGGGTATGTGGTTCATTGAAAGGTTTGAATTCTGTTGCTTCTGGTATCTCAGTATTGTCTCTTTCACTGCATTGCAGTAGCTGTGATGGCTGCAGCTGCACTGCGCTGTCAGATGCCTGAATGTTTGCAAACGTTTCTTGTGCAGATTGCAAAAGTTCTTGTCCTATTCCTTTAGCTATTTCATTTATTGATTTAGCACATTCCAAATCTGCCAAGTTAGAACTGGCCTGAGCTTCTGAAATCACATCCACTCCCTTTTCTTCATCTTCTGTGCTTTCAGACGTATCGTCAACTGGCCAACTGGGCACATCTGCTACTAACTGCTCAAAACTTTGTGCAAAATTATTTTCTTCTGAAACTTTAATGTTTTCTTCAAAAGTAGCTATTTTTACATTATCAGTTCTTTCATCTGAATCAATAGCCTCAGCATCATCTCCTACCTTGGCAAGCTTTGTTAAATCTGAACCTGTTTCTGCAGCAGTAATGTCACCTTTGATTAGTTTTCCACTTTCCTGAGCATGTGGTATTATTGGTTCAGCTGAAGATATGATTTCTTCTGCAGTTTCATTTGGTTTTCCTGTAAAAGTGCTATCACTCTCCTTTGTTTTTATTGCCAGTTGCGTTGCATCAACCTCTGTTATGGTTGCCACTGAGAGTGGATCTGAATGCAAAATGATTGGCACCATTTCCTTCTCTAAAATTTTCAAAGTAACTTCAGTATCTTCTGGTGCGGCGTTTGTCCGGAAGACAATGTTGTCATTGATTTCTTTTCCTATTTCTTTTGTTTGTTCCTCAAAAGGGATCATTCTATAATCATTAAAAGTGCTTTCTTGAAATGTACTTTCAATTATTTCGTTAGAAGCTTTCACAACTGAAACTGCAGATTTTGCATTTTCATGTTTCTCAGTTATTTTCGTTGAATTTGTTTGAACTAATCTAGTCGATGGTACATTTTCCTTCACATTTGGGAAAGAGGTACTTTGCTGAAAGCATCTGTACCACACACTGTTTACTGCTGAGCTTTGCTTGTTATTTGCTTGTGAGGGTTTCTCACTGACGTTCCTTTCAGCTATTGCAATTTTAAATGCATTTCTCATGCCCTGCATTTTTTCAACTGTTTGTGCTTCTTCCAACTGGGATGCATTATCTTTTAAATCTGATAACAAATTTGACACCGATTCCTTATAACATCTATAAAACGCACTTTCACTGACTAAGAAAAAGGCATCGTTTCTAGAAGCCTTGGGTTGCAGCACATCTGTTTGGCTAAGTTGTTTGTGGGTTTTTTCAGAAGAAATTGTAAGCAATTGCCTTGGGGTTGCTTCTGTATCAGTTATGGAGACATTTTTATCACCTGGTAAGTCCAGATCTTTGGCATTCTCCAAACCAATTGTTGATTTGTGTGTAAATTCAACACAGATAGTTGAGGCTTCACCTAATGATTCTTCCATTGGCCCTGCAGTGGTAGTCAACATAGGTGAAGCATTTGGTTTGTGACAGGTACTGATTTGATTTTTGACAGGTACTGATTTGATTTTTACCACAGTTTCACGAAGGTCTCTCAATGATTTCTCTGTTGTATGTCCAAGGTTTGATGTGAAGCTAGATATTGTTAATTCCCTTGCAATATCTTTGTCTTTGCAATTTACTGGCATATTACTGAGAGAAGCACCAGAACTGCCATTTCCATTACCAAACTTTCCAAAAGTATAACATACTCTCACATTTGGTAATGCATCACTTTTTGTTTCTATGATGGTAGAGCCAATTGCTTCAATGACTTTTGATTGTGTTGATTTAAGGGAATTGGGGTCATCCATGGTTGGCTTAACTTGCTCAGTTATTTTGTTCATGGGAGCTGTAATGACAATGTTGTTTTCTGTGGTTGCTTCATTGCTTTCATCAATTGTGATTGTTCCCATTAATTCCTCAATTGTATTTTGTTTTGTCACAGCATGACTGGTGTCAGATGTTCCATCATGGTCACCTATCATTCCTTCTTGAGCATCACTAGATGTTTGAAAACCTGCTAATCTTGGTTGATTTTCATCTTCTGGCATTGATGTCTGTTTACTTGCTCGAATCCTGCTGGAAGTTTCAAATTCTACATGATCGTACATACCAAAGGTTTCATTGGGTATTGTTACTGATATGAATGACTGGTTGCTTAAATGGATTGGTTTCACTGGCTCTGTTGAGTTAAATTTTGCCAGATCTGCGATAGCGTTCAAGGGAATTCTTTCCATCATATCTTGCCCTATCGTTCTGCCCACTTGTTCTGTACTCTCAGCCTGTCTTTCCATGTTATCTGAGCCATTTGGATCTTTTATGTCCTGATATGGTTCAGGTAAATCTGTTCCTTTACCAACTTCAACAAAGGAGCACTGCTGTGCTAGTATTTCATTCTCTGACTCTTTGCCTTTGATTTCTCTAGGTTTCCTTGCTATAATTTCATCAGTCCAGATTGTGGTCTGCAGCTGAAGATTTTGCTGGTCATGATCACACACATTTCTATCAATCACCGTGTATATGTTCTCTTTTTCTTCATCTAAATGTCCTTGGTTTCCACTCTCTGTGGGTGGTAACTTGGTGCCTTTTTCGAATGGACTTGTAAAGTTTTGCTCACTCAAAGAAAGAACACTATTTTTGTTATAGTTGTTGTTTAAGGTTGTTTGCTTGTTATTTGCTTGTGAGGGTTCCTCACTGACATTCCCTTCAGCTGTTGCAATATTAGATGCATTTCTGATGCTCTGCATTTCTTCAACTATTTGCACTTCATCCAATTGGGATGTATTACCTTTTAAATTTGATAATGAATTTTCCATCAATTCTTTATAACATCTGTAAAACACACTTTCATTGGCTAAGGAAAAGGCATCTTTTCCAGAAACCTCAATTTGCAGCACATCGACCTGACTACGCTGTTTGTGGGTTTCTCCAGAAGACATTTTAAACAATTGCTCCAGGGCTGCTTCAGTTATGGAGACAGTGGTATCAGCTGGTAAGTCCAGATCTTTTTCATTCTCCAATCCAATTAAGAGCTCTGAGACACTACCCTCTGTGGAGGGCACTATAGAAGAGAAAGTTGTTGCTGTATATTCATTCCCTTCAGCAATAATGTCATTTAAAGGCCTATATTGCTTCTTTACAGCATAAGTTAACTTTTTTTTAAATGTTCTTCTTCCACGATAAGTTGAATATGTGACTATTGGTGGAAGAGATAGATCTTGGTTAGTCTGTGAATTGTCTATTTCAGCTTTTGGTTCAATAGTTTTTTCTGAAATGTGGTTATTGCATTCCTTGTGGTCTAATCTTTGTGGATCTGCTAGGCCTTTTGCATTACCAGCAAACATCTCGGCATGTACTAAGGTGACATCTCTACCCCGTAAAAGACTTCCAGTCAGCTGTTCTGGGTCCAACTTCCTATAAGTTGAAAAAATAGCATTAGAATTTGCGGTGTGCAAATTGGCTGCTGCATTCACCCACAAAATACAAACAGTCTTATTATCATATCACTTTACAGTGTATCTTGTGAAGCGCTTTGAGACGTCTCAATGACATAATGCGATATATAGAATGCCAGAACTATTATTGTTGTTAACCTGTAATCATGCATTTTTAATTTTACTTTGTAGAATTCTTTGTTTCTATTTTATGTAAAGATTAGAATAGTGTTTTAAAAGAGTTAAAGGAAATCTTAATGTTCTTCAACAACAAC